CCATGGTGCCCTCCATGTTACATCTTCGCTAGTGAGCTTTAAAAAGAATGCCAACCACTGACCTTTTATCCAATCTTTTCTCCATTCTTTAGTCTTAAACTCCTTGATAGGATTGAAATGCACGGAGAATGGTCAAAATGATGTCTTCTCTTTTCCCTAAAAATGGCTTCTGAGCCAGACAAACAGTAACTGAGAACACCCCATAAATCATCCTTCACCCTTTCTTCGAAAAAAATTAAGTGATCTAATAGTTTCTGCCAAAATAGTTGGTGAAGGGTTTATACCTTTATCTAATTGCTCAAAGAAATCAACCACTGATGCTTCTATATGTCCTAAAACCTTAGGGAATATCATGAATCCATGGATGGCCAAAGCAAACACATCCGACCCCTGATCGGTATCAATATACTTTCTTATGTACTCGAGCAGAAAAGCTGATGAAATGATGTCAACCCTATTTTTTTCTTTCTTGTGCTTGTCTATCTCTTCAACCTCCACTTGCATGATCTTGGCTATTTTTTTTCTATATCCAGTGGTCTTATGCTCTTTCCAATAGATCTTGTCTTGATTGGTAGACTCTATTCGGAGTAAAGAAGAATATTCTTCGATCGTGAGAGCCAAATCTTCTTGGTTGAATACAAAGCATCGATAAGATGGATCTCAGAACTGTATTACGACTCTCATTAGCTGTTCATCAACCTTCACAGACATAAGCAGTGCCACATCCCCGTATTTCTTGGAAAAAGATTCTTTTTTCTCTATTCTCCATTGTTTCCAAATGGCTTTCAATTCTGATATATTATTCTGACTGAGATCCATATGCACTGACTGTGGTAGCACCGATATATGACCATCTACTAAGCAATCTCCTTCTTTCCCTTGAGTATTTTCTGAATGGCTCTTGACCTCTAAGTAGCTCTTACATACAGACGACATCCTTTAGGTTTTTTTTTTTTTGAAAGTTTTTTTTTGTTGAAGATTGGTTCAAAACAATACCCTCTAAAAATATGGTACCTATATGATGCATGCAACAAAATTGAAAACAATAAAACAAATCAAGAATGTAAATAAAACAAATAAATAAAACTGAGTAAATGAATGAACAAGCATATCAGAATATACGTAGTGTCATAATTTAGATAATTTTCTCGTAAAAGGGACAGTATGGCTCTATCCTAAAGTTGGACTTCAGGGTTCACTATATGCCGGGTTAAGATTTACATGTCTAAAGGTTCCCAGACTATTCCTCACATCATCGTCCATTATAGACTAGTAAGGTTCCCCGATCCTCACCCATTACAGGCTACTAACGGAACGGGTTAATCTGAGTGGAAGCGTTTCGCTAGCAAATGCGGAGGTTATCACCTCACGAGAGCGTAGCTACTTCACTTCCTCCTAAAAAGATGGAGCCCGAGTATAGAGCTCATGTATGCGAGTGAATATGCAAAGTGTGTGCAAGGTAATGTATTAATCAAAATAACATGAATAAATCAAAAACAAAATCAAAATCAAAATGAAGTAATAACTAGTACATAATTTATTTCATTTATTAACATGACTGTTTTCAGAAGAATAAAATAAAAGAAATTAAATTAAATATCAAATAAAATCAATTAAATCCAATCGTTGTCAATAGTGCATAATTAAAATTTTGGCCTGACTCTCAAATAATTCCCCAGTGGAGTTGCCAAGCTGTTGTAACGGTTTTGGGATCGTCAGACGTAAAAATGAGTTTTTGTTTTAAAAAAGGGGGAGTCACCACCAATCTTTATTAGGGTGTGATTGGTCACCCAAATGTTTATCTTTTTAATAAAACTATAAAAACGGGTTTAAAGTTTATCAAAAAGATATATTTCGGTCTACGAAAAATCAGGTTGGGTCCGGGAGTCGGTTAGCGTGGGGAAGGATTAGCACCCCCACAACGCCCATAAATTGGTACCATTCAACTATGCGCTATTTTCGGTGTCGGATAAAAATGGTTTTAATTTGAAATTTAACACTAATTCCCTTAACTAAAAAAATTTGCTAAAATATTTATTTAGAAATATTGAGAAAATCTTTAAGTTAAAGAATTATCTTAAAATTCTCCATCGTCTAGGCAAAATTTAAAATAACTTTTTTCGCCTAAGATTTAACACAATAATCATTAAAATAAAATAACAATCTTTATAGGAAATAATTGTTAGTGACTCTCCAACATCTAGGCAGAGTACCAAAAATTATTTCTCTCGGAATGTTATTTTTTATTTTATAATATCACAAAAAGATTTTTTTTTAGTATTATTTTTTTATTAAAAAAAATATTTTATCAGTAAATAAAAGAGAGAGTAATGCAATCAATTATTGATGACAATATGATAACGTATATCATGCTAATGAATGTCATGTAAAATGAAATGCAATTTAAGAGTTGGATTCTTAAATATAATGAGACCACCCCGACTCTCCAACATCTAGGCAGAGCTTAGGTGCGACTGTTTATATTTAAGATCTCGATTTTATTATACTTTTTATTTATTAATCTTATTATTAATACGAATTAAGAAATCGTGTGAAAAGACTTCACGAAGTAAAATTTCCTAAATACCCCATCATCTAGGCGACATTCGGGAATAAATTGCTTCAAATAGAATTTTCACACGTGTCTTTAGGATTTTTTTTTAGGACTTTGGATTTCAAGGATTTTGGATTTCAGGGGGTTTTGGATTTAATGGATTTTGAATTTTATGGGGTTTGGATTTAAGGGATTTTGGATTTTTAGAAACCTATGATTTTGAAAATTAAGAATTAGTGTTTAAGGTTTCGTTTTTAAGAAAATATGAACATCTCTAAAAAGTCCCAACATCTAGGCGAATTTTCGAAGCAAGTTCGATTTTAGTGATTTTTAAAAATTATTTTAAAAAATTTTTATATTTATTTTTTTATGAAAATTTATTAATAATAATTCCCCAACATCTAGGCGGAATTATTTCTTTTTAAAAAAAAATATTTTTATTCCCTCCAACATCTAGGCAGGAAAAATAATAAAAATTATTTTTTTGAGCATTTTAATATATTTTAATTATTATTTGTTTTCAAATTTATTATTATTAAAACAATTAAATATTTATTCTAATAAATTTATCATGCATAAATATAAAAAAATAACAAAATAACAAAAAAAATAATAAAAAATTAAAACATTAAAAATTTTTTTTTACCTGAACCGGACTGATCAACGGTCCGGTCAACGCTGATCCGGGCGGTCTGATCGGTTCGACGGTTGGATCGACAGTTCGGGCGATCTGACCGGTTCGACGGTCGGATCAACGGTCCGGGCGATCTGACCGGTTCAGTCCGGTCCACTGGCGGTTCGTATGAACCGATTCAAGGCTGGTTGGAACGGGTCGTTGGGTCGGGTTGTGCGAATCTCAGGTCGGGTTCGGGTCAATGCGCGGATCCTTCTTTGGTTAAAACGACGTCGTTTTGGGTTTTATTGAAACGACGTCGTTTTGGCTATTGATAATTTATATAAAAGTCAAAAAAAAATTTTCTGTCATTTTTTTTGGTCTTCAGAAAAAAAAAGCCCTTTTTCTTTTCTTCTTCTTCAGCCACACGTTGACCGACCGTCGATGTCGTCGCCGTTCGTCGATCACCGACCGCAGTCTCCGGTGGTCGAAAAAATCCCAAAATTCTCCCATGAACTCTTCTCGACCCCCTGAGCACAGATCTGACCTCATTTTCACCAAAAACGACCTTGATTCGCGTAGATCGGGTTTTGAAGTTTTCGATTTTTTTTCCCTTTTTTTTTTTGGCGAAACTAACGATTTCTTGGCTTTTACAGATGGCTCGGTGCTGAGGTTCCTCGCCTACGGCGAGGACTGTGTATTTTTTTTATTTTTGTTTCTGTTTTGGTTTTTTTTTTTTTACATTTTTTTTTGTTTTCGGTGTGGTTTCTGTTTGGGTATTTTGGGTGTTTGGGAGTGTTTTGAGGGAGGGTAGTTGTGTGTTTGAAAATGGATCTTTTTCGAGAGCTCATCGATCTCAATAAGGAAGATGGTTGGGGATTTTAAAGGGTTTCGATTTAGGGGAATCTAGGTGGCTATAGGATGGCTGTAAGTGGGCTGAGAGAGCTGGTCAGGGGGTTGGTTGGGTTGGTCGGGGAATTGGTTGGGTGACTGACAGGGAGTTGGTCGTGGCAGTTCGACGTCGTACCAACTCATTGACTTCTGTTTTCTTTCCATTTTGTTTTTTTGTTTGTTTTATTTTTTTTTTGTTTGTTTTGTTAAATATTATTATTATAAAAAAAATAAAACAGTAGACCCGAACAAAATCGGTGTCTACAATAAATTATTTATTTAACATGTAAATTGTTCATTTAATTTTTTTAAATTGTTTAAGTAAAAATATTTTAAGTTTTATTGTACATATAATAAATTTTATATGTAACAATAAAAATTTATCATAAATAAATTTTTTTTATATTTTCAAAGAAAATTATGCTTTCAATAGTAAAAATATTATTTTTGTTGAAATTTAAGAATTCTAAAAATAATGTTTCTCACATTTTCAATAAAGATCGTATTTTTTAATCATAAAAACGTTTTTTTTTATTGAATTCTGAGAAATAATTTTTTTATATTTTAAAACAAAATCTACGTTTTTATTTTTTAAAAATTTATTTTATTGAATTAAGAAAATTAAATATAAAATAATATATAAAATTATTATATTTGTAAGAAAATAATGTTGTCTATGTAATTAAGCCATAGCAAATAGGACAGTTTTCATTTTTTCTTTGAAATCTAAAAAATACTCTCAGAGAGGGAAGAGTTTTTTATTCCTTTACTTTTCTCTTTTTGGACGTTGTTGAGATTGTAAAATTCTAAACAAGAGAAAAAGAATTTTCAAGCAAATTAAAAAATCAGATAACAAAAAAATAAAATTTCATAAAAAGAATAATTTAAGAGGAAAATAGCCCCTATTAAACGCCCATCATATTGTTTTCATTCCTTGTTTGCCTGGAAGTATATCTTCTACCCTTTAAAAAGAAGAAAAAAAATTAAAAAACCAAGTCCTTGAATTTGAGATTAAATATTTTCTAGATAAAACTTTTTGGCCCTTGATCAAAACTTTCCATATAAAAGAAAGACAAAGCAAAGTGGGTATTCACTCAATATTTAATTTTCATCCTTCCAACATTGTCTCTGTCAATGTTTCTAACAAATCAGTATCACAATGGAAGAATTCATATACCTTCACTTTAGCTTAGTCATATAAGTGATAACATTTCTAGGTCATCTCAAAATAAAAACAACGACATAGAGCTGGGGCAGGCAGCATAGATTTTCAGGAATCTGAACCATTTCTAGCTTTTCCTTCCGCGGGAAAAAGATGGTCACTTATTCGAACACAAAAAGGAGTACAAGATAAGGCTTCCAAATGCAAGTACACCAATGAGGTCTACACAAAATTTCCCAGTCGTCTGGTTACTGCTTCCACACTATTGGGTATACGAAGAAGGCTGATGCGCAGATGGTGCAGCAGAGCCATAGTCATATGCTCCATAACTAGGCTGACCCCCATAAGCACCGCTGCTCCGATAACCAGAAGCAATCATGTTATCGACAGGGTGTGAGTAGTGCTGTTGAGTAACTGCAGCAGGACTTTGAGAGTGTGGCACACCATATGCTGATGCATAAGGAGCAGTAGGGCCCTCAAAAACATTCTGGCCACCATAGGTGTATGGTCCAGAATATCGTGCAGCTGGGCTATGCTGTGCAGAGGAAGCTGGATTTCTGCGACTAAAAGGGGGATAGGCATTTGAAAATTTAGATGCTTTAGCAGGACGGAAAGCATGTGGCCCACTGCTCCGGCTGCTACCAGCATTATGGCCTCGCTTATTTTGAGGCTTCCCAGTGGCTGATGAACTCTTTTTCCTATCCGCCCTGACTTTCTCCAGCTGAGTGGCTCGCTTTCTTAAGTTATCAACAGAGAACTCTGATTCAAGCTTATGGTCTTCAACACATTTGATAATAGCTTTGATTGAATTCAGCTCCAAATTGTTTGACTCCTCCTGCAAGATCAACTACCTTTAACCTGCAGGTCTTTACTAAAGGTTCAAAAATGAAATTCTACATACATGATGTAGCTGGTATGTTATTAAAAGATACAGGGGAATGTCTTCATACTGTTGCAGCTGCGGTATTGTTTCCATTCTTCATTATAGTGGTTGCATTCTTTTTGGAGTTCCGGAGATGGGACTTAAGCAGAGAAACAGCAGAAAATCTCTGTGTCAAGCCAGCCTCCGTGGCAAAGTACACTGCCTCAATCTCTTTACCATTCTTTATTAGTTCATCAATAATATCTGAAAAGTTCAGAGATAATTCAAATCAAGGAGGTGCTATTTAAGTGAATTCTCATACGATGATGACAAGAATAAACCAATACAAACAATACATCATCTTTCTCTTTGTGATTATTTGCTTATTTTATTGTACCAGCACAAATTTAAAGTAAAAGCTAAAAGAAAAACACCCCTTTCCAGAAAGGAGAATCCTTTGTGGATTCTGGGATGTATAAGACAATGCAAGCTATATTTATCTACCTTTTACCTCAGTTAACAGTAGTTTTTCATGATCTTTACCTCAATTTAATAGTTTAATAGATGCCTTACATGAGAAACACAGCAGCATAGATCTTTGTAACTGCAAGTCAGAGGTGGTAGACAAGACTAACATGACAAATGTGTTTATGATTTATTCAAGAAATCAGAAAAAGAAACCCTTCAAAATACAAAACCATAAAATTGTATCTCTATCTTATTACAGGCAAAGATTTGATAAGTTTTACATTCCAAATACATTTGCCTAAGAGGACATTACAAGAGCACTGGACCCAGTGCCCGTGTGCATGTGTTTTCAAAGTGTCTGCACATAAAACTCAAGGCACCGCATGGCTAATGCCTGACATAAACCCTACGTATCTTGCCAGCATCGGCATACATCGAATTTATATCTTTTGGATAGAGAAATGCAAGGCAAGCACATATTCCAAAATCCATCTGTGCAACCACAAACCATGCATGCACACATGCATATATGTATGTATGTATGGAATATAATGCAACTGCATTCTCTGCTACCTTGTAATGCAGGTGGAATGTGATGAAGCACAACTTCTGGCACTCTTGAGATACATACAACTATCATCTAAAAGAGTAGAACATGGAGAAGAGGTGATTTGTATGTCTACTCTGCTACCTTGTAATGCAAGTGGAATGTGATAAAGAACAACTTCTGGCACTCTTCTGATACATACAACTATCATCTAAAAGAGTAGAACATGGATAAGAGGTGATTTGTAAACCAGCTGCTAGACATGACAAGTTCAAGTAATGATGCAAGGAAGTACAAGTAGATTCCATAAAGGCATAAAGCTTTCAAAGAATGTAAATAGCTGGGTGAGTTATTAGCTAATTAAAGCCCCGACCAAGATTTAGCTTAGATAGGTTAAATAAAAACCTTTACTATTGTAGATTTAGATATCTTGTATAAATATTGATTACATAGACCTTTTTCAAAGTTATAGGTAGTTAACTAGATAACATGGTGTGAACATGCTTTCAGTGTCCGTTCAGAGTGACCATTTGCAAGGCACTGCACTGTAAATCCACCATCTAAACAGCAAATTTGAAAAGTAAAGGAGTTATCATAGATGAATACTAGACAATTGCTTTTAGCAAATCCAATAAACTGCCACCAATTAAAATTTTCAAAATTCTATTTGCATGAGTGGATTCAATCCCCAACTATTATCCCAATTAGAATGTTTGATATAAATAAATCACTCATGTTGCAAATCGAACTAGTCCACTTAATCTCCATGAATGACACAAAGCAATCCTACACTACCCAATTGCTGGGATGAATTGCAAAAAGTGCGACTTGAGGCACAAAGCTTCTAACAAAGTTAAATATCTATTCCCTAACCACAAATAATTTAATCTCAAAACATATATATATTTTCACAAATTTATTATCCTAAGCAAACTGAAAGCAAAAACAAAACCACATTAACAAAATACGTTTGAAAAAAAAAAAAAAACCTTAAAACTACCCTTTGAAAAGAAGAGCACAAACCTCCTATTTTATCACCAAACCCCAAAGCAGCAGCAAGCTTAGCCATATCCCTCCGTGACGCGAAATCCACAACCAACTTCCTCAAAAAAGCTTCTTCAAACCTCTCTTTCAACTCAAACCCAACCACCATTTGCAAAAACATAACCGCCTCCGCTGCCCCAACTCCTTCTCCCTCCCCATCCAACTGCCCTTTCCATTTCTCAACCACCTTTCCCGCCCTTTCTACAGTGCTGCTCGCAAACACCGGCCTTTTCCCTTTTTTCTTCTTCCATGTCGCTTCCGGTAACAATGCTTGAACCAATATTCCGCATGCCCATCTCTTATCAGTCAACCCTCCCGTCTTCCCAATTTTCTGTGAAACAAAGTCGTCAACAGCTTCTAAAACAAGCCTGGGCGGGTCAACGGCTTCGGATAAAGCGTTGGAGATCTCAGCTCGTAATGAAACGGATTCTTTTCTTTTGGAAACTATGAATTTAATTAACGCCGTGGAGTCCATACGGCGGGAAAGGGATTTTAATGATTCGGAGAGTTGGGTTGAGGTCATGGGGTTTCTGAATTCAGCTAAAGCAGATTCTTTTTGGGCCTCGATGCCAGCAGTGGCGGCGGATTCGCGGTCAGGGATGGAGGACTCGCTTAGGGAAAGGGACTCTAGGGTTTGGGAAGATGAGGAAGAAAGGGAGATGAATCTGGAGTCGAGGGATTGAGATTTTAGGGAAAGGGAATTTTGGAGGGAAGAGAAATGGTTGGTTAGGGTTGTAAATAATTGGGTGCATTTGGATAGGATTGTTTTCTGGGATTCGAGATCGTCGATGAATTTCTTAACTCTGTCAGTTGAAATGGCCAGCTCGCTCGACATCGGCGATTAAAAAAAAAGCGACGTTTCAGTGGAAATGGAGGAAAAACCCTAAACCCTTGGCGTAGGGAAGAACAGCCGCAGTGTCCAACAGTGTTTCCTTCTCTTGTCTTGGTCCAGTAAGAGAGATTTTGTTTTCCTTTTGCTGTAATGAAGAAGATCGATTAGTCGATTCTAAACGACGTCGCTCCTGTGAATGTAAGAAAAGGGCTTTTGCTTGACTAATGGGCCAAGTTTCTATGCAAGATTTTGGATATGAAAATAATTTGCCGGAAAGGGAGTGAATTAGGACAAAAATCAAATATAAAAGAAGGGATAATAATTTTTTTATTTTTTACAAAATAGATCACAATATAAAAATAAAAAATATATAAATATTAAAATTTAAAACTCAAATTTATTGAATATCACTTTTAATAAATAATTACATAAATTAACTGAAATAAAATTTTTTTTTGTATATATTTATGGAAACTCTGGTAAAGACAATTTTAGCGTATATTTTTATTTGTGTAGTTAATGTTGGCACTATACTTGCTTGTAAGCAAACTCTGATTTTTAATTTTTGAAAATAACCCATTTTATCCCAAATTTCTTTAGGTAACTTTATCCTTTTCATGTTATGATATACTTAAAAATTTACAAGTAGGAATACTGATTAAATTTCAGCGGGGGCAAAACTAAAAGTTGTTACTTAAAAACTTGTACGTGGTTACATATACAAACATGAAGTTTTAGGATGATTTCAGCCCATTTTAAAATCAAATCTCGTGTTTTAGTTCTAGTGATCAAAGTTTAAATTCCGACAACTTCATCTACAAAAATAATAAAACCTCTGGTAGTAAGTATGATTTACATTCCACATCCTTTGGGCACTTTACAAACTTGGGAGGTTTGAAAAGCCTTTGTTTGCACTCTGCCCAGTTGAAGCTTTCTACATGCTAAATGGTGTCTCTATGCAACACCAAGACTTTCAGCATCCTCCAAGGCGACAGCCAACAAGCAAAATATCTACTGAAACAAATGACAAAGATTAAACTCCCTAGTATAATAATAAATGTAAACTTTAAACCACTTTACATTATAAAATACGGAGGCAGGTTTAAAATGTCAAACATGCAAATCAATCCGCAGACATGACATAATGTCTAAATAGTAAACAACTGTACCAAGGGATCTTAAGAGTTATCATCCAAGACATCTATCTTCGGGCATCCAGAAAACAACAAGGCATGACAACAAATGCAGTGAGTGAATAAATGGACAAACGAGATCTAATTTATGCTTGATAAACAAGGATGAAAGCAAAATCGTGATAACATGCAAGGGAAATTTAGTTTCCACCCATCAAGTATTAACAGAAGGAAAGGTTAAGCCGCAATGAAATGGAATCCTCACAAGACGCATTAAGCATTCTAATTTCAAGGCCTCAAACCACATCAATATTTGATTGACAACCCAAGGCTGGATCAGAATACTTTACCTGCCTTCAACTTGTAACGGCAATTGCTTGTTTCAAATACCAAACTTCAGGACACTGTCCTCCCATAGCAAATTGATGAAATATACAGATTTTTCAACCATTTATCCTGCAAAATGGATAAAAGCAAGAATCATTAGCAAGTGTGGGATAAATCAAATAACTAATTCGAGTTTACTTTCTTAGTGAGTTAGCATTCAAGAATTATAAGAAAATATATTGTGTAAAATAAATTCTACCGGCACGCAATCTTGAGACTTGACAATTTGGAGCTAAAACTAGATTTACATCTATGTGAGGTTCACCAGATTGCATGGCAATGACATCATAAAGAAGTTTTCAAGTCAAGTTTCACAGTTCGAAAGATAATATAACCCACGTCACTGAAAGACTGAAAGACCTCTTCAAACACCAAAGATAGTGGTATAGATACTATCATACACCATTAAGGAAGAAAAATCATGCAAAATTAGATTACCTTTACATGGGTACTAGGAAAAGCAGATGTACGCAAAGTTTCTTGCATTATATCTTGTGATTTTCTCTTAGGTACACTAAGAATGAATGCAGCTTGGTCCTCTGTAGCTGCTGCTGATGTAATCCGATATCCTTTTTCCCATCTTCTATGAATACCCTCACTTGGATAAAGGAAATCAAGTTCAACAACCTAGTCAACAAGTAAAAGAAGATGTAAGTGAATGCTGCAGTATCATATGATTGAGTATCATTAGACTGGAATTGGACTACCTGACTAAGATAGCCTGCATTTCGGGACATAACAATGCCCCATTTGCTGCCTGCAGTGGCCATTGAGGTCACAGAGAAGCCTTCTTTCCACTTCTTATTAATCCATTTGAAAGGAAATACATCACTAACTTTGTAGGACTGCTGTGTGTAGGGAGTACCTTTAGTAGCAATGAGAAAAAGAATATCAGCATTACCAGCATGGAACTTTTACAACATAATTGCTGGATATAGTTCACAGAGATTTGATTGATTAACATGATAATCACGACATATGAATTTGTCTATTTGTCCTCATCTCAGAACTCAGCTTCAGCTGAACATCAATACTACATCAGTAGCCAGAAATTACAGGCCCACAGCCTTATCAGTTTTGCATGCATTTGCCACACTAAAAATACCAACTTATCTCTTATGAAACAACTCACCCTTTTGGATAATTTATCTGGTGAACATAAATACTAGAAAAATTAAAGCAAACAAGAATCTCAAAAAAGCTTTGATTACCTTTTGACATAACAACCAATGCACTGCCATTGCATGCACCGGCAACTGAAGTGATGTAGTAATTCTTGTCCCACTGTTCCATTATCCACTCCTGATCATTTAATCAGTAAGACGGATAAACTTCCTCAGACTTTGATAATCAGAATAATGCAACTGAAAGCTAAAACTGAACAGTTATTTCTACCTTGTGCAAAAAGATTGGTGATAACTCATAAACCTGAGATGTGAACCCTGTCCCTGCATCCATAACAATGGCCCACAGATTCAATGACGATGCTACACAGCTAATATACAAGCCATCTTCCTTTCCCTTCTCCACGTGATGGTAGAGTCTTGAATCCATAACATTGTAGTGATACCTGCAATAAGTAAGGTGAATTCTTGATAACGAAGAAGAGTCTAATATGAAAAATGGCAGGAGATACCATATTCTAATAAGAAGCAGCCATGGTTGGCTTTCATGACCTTTTTACTTTTCATTTTCTTTTTCTTCTTTATCTTTTTTTTTTTTAATTTTTTTTTTAGGAGGGAAGGGGGTTGTTTTCCATAAGCTGGCTACATAATGGAGTTTCTCCATGAAGATAGGATTCAGTTCTAAAATCGTCTTGCCACTTTAGATAGTGGAAAGTTCTAGCATTTGTATCCTATTTCACTTTGCCTTCATCGAGAAAGGTCAAAAGTTACATTTCCATAAGGGCACTGCCCGATTCCATTCAAATGATATGTGAAGCATAGGAAGCAGCCAAAACACACAAATGCACTGCTAGACACAGTCAGAGAATGGCAGCTTATAACACATACAATATCTTTCATTGAAGAGAATTTTTACCTCTGCTTCATCGAAGTTCTGGAATTATAGATTGAGATCCATTGAGAAGCAGGAGAACCTAGCCGAACTTTCTTCTTAAGCTGCTCAGCATTTTCCAACTCAGCAAGTGATCTTCCCCTTTTTTGACCCACCTGATGCATTAAGGATTTACCAACAAATTCTAAACAAAAAATCTATTTAAGAAAAGGTACTGCCACAACACAAGATAAAATGCCAGGTAATAACCTTAATAGCTCCATCAATTTGGATAGGATGTATTAATGAATTGAAATCTATGCTATTATGAAAAAGGGAAATGAGCTTTGAGTAATTGGGTTCTTCGTCAAATTTCATATTGGTCACAATCTCGAGAAACTGTTGAAAAGGAGGGGGACACAAGTAACAAAGCATCTCAGGAGAAGTTCCCATCTTCTTCTTACAAACAAGAAATCCTTTGTTCTCCCCCTGCAGCCCCATAATACAGCAAAACACAACACATTAATGGCAAAAGACAGCAATTAAGCTACAAAGTTCTAATTGGAAATACAAGGTGGAACAGTTGAATAAACTTACAATGTAACCTTGCCAAGGAAGCTTTCCTCTAAGTAGAAATATGAGTGTATAAGCCAATGACTCAAGGTCATCCCTTCGACTCCCTGTCCTACCCAAATGAGCATGTACACTTGCATAACGTACAGTTCCCCTAAAATAATAATAAATTCAAATTGGCAATCTAAAGATTCAAATTCTTGCCTTCCTTCAGTCTGAAGTAAGAACAGGCAAGTAGGCTGGGAAAAGTATGCTAACTACTTAATAAAGTCTAAACATATATATCTACAGAAATAATAAATAAACAAATATGGAAGTTCTCTGACAAATGTTCATGTTCACAACATAACAGAAGCAGCCTTATTGCTTAGAGTCAGTTACCTAAACACATCAGGCTTTTGGTCATAATCAACATGACGTCCAGAAGCTGCCTCCTTCCATCTTGAAGCTGAAAAGGATCAAGAATTATAGGTCATTACACAATATATGCATAAAATGGTAAAGCATCTCCAGTATATAAGGAGTGGAAAGAAGCTGTACCCAAACCAAGATCAATTAGATACAAGTTCTTCTCTTTCGAGGTCCCAGGCTGGCCAAGCAAAAAGTTCTCGGGCTTAACATCTCCATGTACAAAACTGAAGTGGAGAAAAGAGATGTGGAGAAAATACAACAAGCAGTAAAAGGAGTGAAAAAATGGAATGCAACAATTTTGAAGTACCCTTTCTGATGAAGCTGCTCAAGAATTGATATTGCCTCCACTGCTATACAAGCAACCATCTCTTCTGTCAGCCTATACCAAGAGCAAAAACAAGATATAGTAGCAGCAAAGTTTTACATACAAAAAACTCAAAGCATATAATTTTAGGAAAAATGAAGGGGGAGAAAGTGAGAATAATAGTTTCGTACATTTGGTTGTTTGAGTTCCAAACATCCCATAAACTTGGACCTAGCATATCCATGACCTAGATTCACAAGATTCAAAGAAACATCAAAAAAGACTCTTCATTTTTTTCCTTTTTCCAAAATACGACAGTTGATTTGAAATTCTTTACTGAGGAACTCACAAGGATGTAGTAGTCTCCTAGTTGACCTTTGTAATGAACCAAGGGAATTCCATAACAACCATTAAGAGTGCTGAATGATAATTTTGAGACAGGAAAATAAATTAGGCCATAAAAATTTGAACTTCAAATGACTGCAAGAATGAAATCTGCCGTACCTGTACACTTGCCACTCATAAGGAGGACCAGAACTGCATCCTTTACCGTTTCGATGCTCAAATTTCAAAGCAACCTGCAAAATGAAGCAGGACAATGGCATTAGCACCAGAATGAACTTCCAGTGAATTTTGTTCAGGTTCACTGGAGCGCAAGTGAAATAGAACCTCAAAGGCATCAGGTCCACTGCACCCTGTGCCACCAGATATCCTTCTTCCAACATAAACCTGCCCAAAACCCCCTTTACCCAGCTTTCTATCTAACTTGTACACAGGAGAGTTACCAAGCTGTACCTGTCAAAGGAGAAACAGATGGAACATTAGTACAAATCACTTGAAAAGACTTGGCACATGAAATCTGAAGATGAAAACTTAAGTATAAGTGGTCAGATTTGACCATATGCAACACTTATGAAATCATGCACAACCAGAAAGAAAGTGCCTCTTCTTTTCTTGATAAAGGGAAGTAGGAATAGTTGAAGCGGTTGCTTAGGCCTGTATGGTCATTTACCTCCAACAGTTTGACATCCCCACCCACTAACACAAGACATATCCATTATCATTCCAGTATAACAACAGCAAAGTAGTGACCCCAGAAGGCAGATTAATAACAGAGAAAATCAGTACCCTTTCAGGAAGTGGATTTGTGCTTCCTTCTTCCTCAACAGCAACCAATCTTTCTGCGCTTTTCTCAACTACCTGCCTTACTGGAAAGTTTATTCCAGGGCAACCCCTGCCACAGGCACCAGGACCAACAAGCTTGCCATTGTCATCCTGATTCATTGCTCTACGCCCTCTACCTCTACCCCTACCAGCTGATCATGGATTCATATTATACAAGGAAACAGCAGGTAAATTGGATTGATACAAAACATAAAAAATTTAAAGATCAAACTGAAAAGAGTTATTACCAGCACCACGCCGGGCAGATGGAACTAAGGCAGCAGGGCTCTCCTGGTTGTCATTGATCCTCTTTGATCGTCGAATTCCACCTCTCAAATCTGGCATTCTTTTCCCATGCAAAAAAGGAAACCTCCTCCTATCAAACCATTATTCACGATATTTTATTTAATCATCAAGACACCCCTTAGTTAAAATCTCCAAATTTCCAACCAAAATATATGCTACCCACAAAAAGCAAGTGACAATTATTTAAATGGATAACCATAAGGTTTAGCAACAATAAGAAACAACAATCGCACAAAATAGGAATTCATAACATATAATAAAATTAATAATCCATTTCAATTTTATTGCAATCTCAAAATTCTAGTTCATCAATTATATATCACGAAGCCAGACCTAAACTGATAAGTAACCGTAGGCAAATTGCGTACTTATAACATAAAAAACTAAGTGTAGACCATCATCCAAATAAAAATGCAGTGCAATATCAGATTCATCCAAGCTGCAAAACCTACACTCTGATTATCATTGTAAAAACCAGAAAACCACCATTGATCTTTTACTTAAGGCCAAAATCCAATTACCCAAAACTGAATCTAAATCAATTACAAACAATAAATATCATCCAAAAACCAAACAACAATCTGTTTTTAGAAAATAGTTTGAAACTTTATAAGTCAGTATTTCTTTTTTAACAAAAAAAGAAAATTTAAAACTTTAACAAATTTCAGCATCAGCTCTAAACAAAAACCTGATCAAACCAACATCAATTTGGGTACTCACAAATCAAACGATCATCCAAAAACTGACCCCTAACAATAAAAAGATTCACATTTTTCTATAAAAAAAAGCATAAAAAATCAATACCCAGAAACCGATTGCCATAAAACAATGCACCAAAGAAACAAAAACATTAAAACATACCCAAACCGATTTGCCTCTTTTACTGGGGTTTTCTTTTTTATTGCTCTTGTTTCAACAAAGCCAAAAGACAAACAGATAAAACGGAGGGCTTTGATATATATACCTTTTTATTACAAGAAGAAATCGAATGACGCAAACAAATCACGTGATTTAAAAAGTTTGGTGCATGAAAAAAATTGAAGAGTTGATGAAAAAATTAATGCGATCGAAAATTTTCTTTTTTAAATGGAAAGAGAGAAATGACGGTAGGTTACTTGAAGCCAGAAAGAGAAAGAACGAAGGAGGCAAAGGCATGGACATGGACGAGGGAGTGCCCACGACTTACTACGTAGGATGCCATTAAGAATTACGTGGAAGGCGCTGATTGGCTTCTATTTTCTGATCATGGGTGGGTAAAGTAGCGTATCTTCCCCCGATTTGTAAAAGATAAAAGAATAATGTTTGTTTGAGATTATATTGAGAAATATATAGGTTAAATATGTAATTTGATTTTCTAATTATATTATTTTAATGATTTGATATTTATAAAACAAAAATTTAAGATTTGGTATTCGAATTTTTTTTTGTCAATTATTTTGCTTTGACTAACACCATAATTAATTAAAGTATTGACATGATAACTATTAATTAATAAAAATGTGTGACATATTATGATATTATTAATTATTTTTTAGTCACATTAGTTTAACATTAACAAAATTAGTGGGACAAAATGTTAAAAAAAAAACTTTAGATATTTAATCATTAATTTTTTTATAAATTCTAAATCGTTAAAAAATCATACAATTTAGGGACTAAATCACATGATAATCCTAATATATATTTTGAAAAATTAAAGTTTATATGGTAAATTAATTCACATTAAGAGGCATTTGGTTTACAAATATTTAAATTTCAGAATAAAAAGTGATTAAAAAAAATGGTATTGAAATAGAATATGCGATTTTTAGATTTTGTTAATATTAAAAAATATAAAAATTTGTTGTTTGATTATAAAATATAAAATTATTTAATAAAATCTTTAATTATATTGCCTTTGATGACATTTGAATAACACGTGATATTTATAATATGTGACACGTGAATAAACAGATAATTTATTTAAATTTTTATTCATTTAACATATAAATTATTCATTTAATATTTTTGTTAAATTATTTAAGTAAAAATTTAAGTTTTATTGCAATATAATACACTTAATAATACATTATATAAATGTAATAATAAAATTTTATCATAATATAAAATTTTTTTTATTTTTAACAAAAATCATGCTTTTAATCTTAAAAATGTTATTTTTATTAAAATTTAAGAATTTTAAAATATTTTCATATTTTCAACAAATATCATATTTTTGTTTTAAAAGCATCATTTTTGTTGATTTTTAAATACTAATTTTTTCATATTTTTAATAAAATTTATTTTTTATCTTAAAAATATCTTTTTTATTGAAATTTAAAAATTAAATAAAAAATAATTTATAAAATTATTACGTTTTTAAGGTAAATAATACTTCTATATAGTTTGAAAATAGAATAAAATTTTCACTTTTCTTTGGAAATCTAAAAAATTTTTAAGGAGATGAGAATTTTTTATTCTTTCTAATTTTTTATTTTTTCACATTATTAAGATTGTAAAATTTTTAATATGAAAAAAAATTTTAACCAAATTAAAGAATCAAACAATAACAAATTAGATTTTGAGTGAAAATTTGATTTCGAAAAAAGTGATGATAATCAAACGTGGATGCATTTTTCACATCCCCATTTAGTAATTCACCTACTAGATGGGAAAATCAGATGTTATTAGTATTTTTTAGAACGGGAAAATTAGGTGTTTGCTTGTAAAAAATTATACATTTTTTTTTCTATTTTTCCTTAATTTCTGTCACTGTTGCATGATTATAATTTCACCCCAAACTGAATACTTTTCTTGGGAACAAATTAATATGTTCTTCCTCCAAGCCCCTGAGAAACAAAAACTAGAAAACATTTGGTCTCCCCATTTGATCATAGGAATCTAAATATTATTCCAAGAGGAACAAAAAATATAATAATGAACATGTCTAACTGATTTTATTTATGGATAAGAATTACAATATACATATGGGAAAAAAATTATCAGAACTGCTGCAATTTCTCTCACTGAATCCATGGGAAAAAATAAATAAAAAGAATTAGTCAATAAAATCAATGGATGAGGTAGGTAATTGCCAGGGCAACTAGAAGGAGAATGTAAGCAATTCCTTGATCAATGGCTGTACCATCGTTGGATGGAGCAGGTGCAGGCGAGGAACCCATGCTTTGTCCGTAACTGAGTTGCAAAAGTGCAAAGAACAACGCAATGACCGGAAGAACATGCACCCTCATTGAACTCATCATCTTCAAATAATTATTAACCAAAAAATCAACTGAAGATATAAGACAAAAAAAGAGAATTTCTGGGTGTTTTTTCTTTTTTTGTAACAGGAAAAGGAGAGACTGGAATAAACAGTTGAAGAGAAACAGGGTGTTTTACAAGGAAATGCTGGTGAATTTGTGAGGTATTGATGATATTTATGTTGGGAGAGTTTATTTGGGTAGGAAATTCCCTGGAAAGTGAGAGGTCTAAAACTGATGATGGCGGCTACGCCAATATTGACTTGGATACCAAGGTTGGCTTGTTTCTATTACTCGTGTGTTTTTTAAATTTGCAATAACAAAAACAATGTGGATGCAGCTGATTATGGTCCACTCAGAAAATGAAATTAAAGAAACAAATTTGGTTTCGTACTGTCCATCGTTTCATTGACTTAACTATCGAATTAATTTCATTTTTAGGAAAAAAAATCAGAATATTTATGCATGTGGTGATCTTTACAATTGTATTATATACAATTCAAAGTTTTACTTTTCCAAATCATAGAGAAACACAAATTGTTATCTTGTCATCTATATTAGAACAGTCTTTGTTGTTAGCTTGGGCCCGACAAGCATGTCAAATTACATGGTCAAACAAGTTGTTTTGCTTTAATGATGCTGTGATTTAGAATAGTTTCACGTGGATGGAAAACGACAGACACTTTTGTTAATTTTAGTGCAACATTCTTTTTAATATGACCAATTTTTTTCTGGAGAGACTTGTGTTGATTAGTCGAAGTTGTCATGGAATGCAACATATATACTGAAAAAAATGGATATGTATTTATTAACAACAAAAAGGAGTAGGAAAAATAACCAATAATATGTGCCAAATGCTTAATTTCGCTATTAATTATCTTAGATTTGGTAGTTGAATAATCTTCTAATTTTCATCTTATTATTATGCTGGCACACATTTTTATTTTGGGGTGAACCATGGGTGCCAGCAATGGCTGTCAAGAGTGTCTCAAATGGCAAAGCAATAATGCTGGCAAAATCCCATTGCTTAGCTCCACACAAACCGAGTCTTCTTTTCTTTATCATTTTTCCTTGCCGGGTTTGATTATTATTATACATTTTTCTTCGATAATAAGTTACAATGAACGAGCCAGAAACTGGAACCAGGTCTAAGTTAAACGACTTTGCAATTTCAGGCTGCAAAATTTAGTCTTGATTATCAACCTCTTTCTATTAGTCTGATAAGCTTAATACGAGATGGAGGCCTTCTGGCCCAAAGCTTGACAGCAACTAGACATGTTGAGCCAACATAAATGGGGTCTTTCGACTTTTGCAACTTTATGGCATTTTTTTTCCTGTTCAAGCTCTTTCAAATTAAATTGAGATTCGAGCTATTTCGAACTGAGTTTTTAGATTCATTTTACTGCCTCCAAGTCCGAGAAAGGCCAAGGAACTTGAAAATTCTTCTGAAGTGATTGCCTTGTCCATTAGATAAGCTACTGTCAAAAACCAACCTAGTATCTTTTTTTTTTCTGGTAAGGTGCCAAAAAGAACCTACTGGCGACAGTACTAGTTTACCCAATTTCACGCTTTTTTTTTTCTCTAGTATGATGGCAAATTGGCAAAAGGTCTTGTCCTTTGCTAGAATCCAATAAGAAATGTACTTTTGACGAGGATAGGACCAGGAAAAGCGTCAGCATCAGCTCAACCATTGTCCTATTTTTTTTCCCCAACTTCAGAATATGGTACCCCTGCAAAGCCAACCCTGATTTAATTTTCAGCTTCTGCCCAACTGAACCTTATCCCCCTTGGGAAAACATGCGCACCTTTACTGAAAGTAAGCATTTATCGGACAGGTTTCAAAAAGTGTCTAACTAAAAACTGATCTCTTCATTTTGCATTTCCACACTCAGATTTCAACTTTTCCTTAGCTGCTCCTTGGGCACCCAAAAAAAAAAAAAAAACTTTTGTGCTCTGTCCACTGAGCATTTGAGATGCTGCCACGTTTAACATAAAAGAGCATGGCAGCACCTGCTTTTGAACTGGAATCATGGTGGGCGAGTATCGGTTTATTAGGCCATGTTTTGGTAAAGAAGGCAAATGAACAGCTGATACTTCCCAAACCCAGTCGAAGTTTTACTTGCCCACCTCTCCTTATTCCTTACTATCCTTCGCTTATATAATCTCACCAGAACACATATTCCTTGCTTTTCAAGCTCTGTCATACAGCAACATACTAATACCCAGAGTGGAAGACAGAAGGGAGAGAAGGGCAAAAAAGAAGAAAGGAATAATGTGCTATGCAACAGTTACTTCCGCTGGCAAACAGGGGCTGGCGGTGAGTGCAGATGGTTGGTTTTGCTGGCGTCAATGATGGCTGCAGCCCATCATGTACCAAGAACTGAGGCGGCTAAAGAGATTGGTGGAGCTGGTTCGATGATGAAGCAGTGTCTGTGTTCACCTTCGAAGTCATTTCGCTGTAGGCACCACCATGCTGAATACGTGTGGGGTGGTCGATTCTTCAGAGCCAGAAATGACCGCACCACTATGCCGAGTATGTGTGGGGGTGGTCGATTTGTTAGCAAGAAATGACCGGTAGTTTTAGCTCAAGGTCTAAAATAAGTTGTACAAAGGAACCAAATGATTTTAACTGATTCATAACCGGCGTTCCCTCATCTACAAACAAAATTTATAAAGATTGATTGGTTAATCCTGCAAACTTATAGAAATGCTCCCAAATCGGTTTCTTGCCCTATTTTTGCTTTTTCCCATGCCCTACGCCTCAACTCCCGACCTTCTCTTCTTTAACCTCCTTGCCCCGTCCTTCCTCTCCCTCTTATGTAAATTCAATTTGGTGTTCATTTCTCATAGAAACTCAAGTCCATGTAACAATCATTATATAAAGAAAGATACAGAAAAAATCCTTAGTTGAATATATCATTTTAATCCAATCATGGGTTTATAACTGCTAGTTATATGCACCAACTAACTGAACTATGATGTTTGATCACTTACATTAACATGTACAGTATAATCAAGGAAGAACAGAATCACCAAACTATCCAAGTCTGTTACTGGCTTCCACTACATCAATTGGCCAAACTGGTATATTGGAGCTGTCCACCACTTTACTACAAAACACACCCATTTTAGGATTATCAGTATAAATTTAAGATATAAACATGAAAAAAGGGAATGCAGGTATTGAAAAAAGACTTATATTGATGGCAGGAAGCAATCTAAAACCAGTATTAGCAAGGTATAGGAAGAAAACAATGGGTTGAAGAGGCCGTGATATTCTATATTATACCAGTTTCAATCCACATGGATAGTAAAAAACCAAAGAATAGGACATAGAAGAAGGAACAACCCTCTTGAACCTTTCTTTTCCCTCTTTGCAAAATAGAAAAGAAATTATTTGGAACTCTTTCAGCACCACGCAAATGGGTGGACCAATGATACAACAGCAAAATTTAACCCATCTAATCAAGCCCACAATTCTCTAAAATTGACTGTGACCCCCAGAATTATAATTAATGTCAATGTGCAGGAAATTTCAAAAATTAGAATAGTGATAATTTTGTCTGGGCGGTACATTAGCACAACTCTTATGCACGCACTTTATCAAGCAAATCCATATATCCTTCTAGTTAGTATCATCTTTGCAATGTGGTTCACACATCTAGATATTAACTTTAGTCAAAGAGGGATAACTAAAAATTGATTCCTCACCTCGGCATAGCAGTCCTGACGAACAATTGTCTGGTTATTTGTATTTACATACACCTCACATGATACTTCTGCCTGAAACATCATAGAAACATAAATCAAACATAGTTGAAGCACAAAGCAATCTCGTTCAGTCAGCAGAATTATTTAAAACAACTATAAAAAGGCACAGAATGAAGAATTCTGAACATAAACAGATATTAACTACCTCATACCAAACTACCAAACCACAATCTTCAGAACAGAAAAAGAAAAACAAGGGGACGGGTGGGGCAAGGAACCTTCTCCACTTATTAGCAGACAGTTGCCAATGATGGCTGCTAACTACTAACTTTCTACTTTCAACTAAATGCTCAAGGCATAGAAAAGTTTCATATGCATTACACATATGAAACGATTTTCAATAAGCTTATCCAAAGTTCTGATGGTCAGGATTGTGCTGTTGTAGATATAATTGCATAGACTGATGCTAATGAATCATAGAATAGGCACCAATAACAGAAAAGGATTGGAAAAATTGAAGCTTTAATCCTTAGTATTGCTTTCAGTCAACTAATCAACCAACTTGTGTACAATATCCTAACAATTTGGGCCAAATCATGGGCTTGCTTTGTGACTTTAGCACATAAAAAATTCTCTACTTATAGCATGAGAGCTCATTAAATTATTGAACTTAGGTCTCCATCTCAAACAGTTTCAAGACCTTCACACATCTCCATAGCTTAGCTGTCAGGAATTAGCCATCTCAATCACCAACCTACAGAACCTCCCTTCCTAAAGAAAGAAAAGGAAAAATTTTTAATTTAAAGAATCTCTGCTCGTTTGTCAAAATAAAAGTGCCATTATACATTTATGCTTAAACTCAAGGAATTAAATACAAGAATTTCAGAGGTCTCTTCGTCTCTTTTTACCAAAACAAACATCAAATTATGTTAACCTAGATTTTAAACACTCCATAATCGTGATATGCCTTTAGTCACATAGCTGTAAAGTCAAGTACAACAGCCATTCAATTCTTTTTAATATTTACCGACTGACTAAAGCCATTGGGAATGGAAATATCTCACTTGATTGTGTCATGTTCCTATTTATTTTACTAACCATCTATGCAATCAACTACAATTCAAGGATTTATCTCTGCTTCAGTTTCTTGCAGCAAATCATTATTGCTCTTTTCTAGAGATATGAGTTTACTGTAAGACAACTTTCTTGAGTTCAAAACAGCACCAATCCATTCAAATAAAAGACACTAAATCCAAAAACCAAGTCAATAAAAATGAAAGAAAGTTGACATCTCATCCCCACCCACAGTGTAGTGCAGTAGCAAGCACACTCTACATGTGTTAGTAAAATGTGACTGAATCGAGAGCATAACAGCAACCAAAGAAAAATCTTTCCCCTGCTTATGGTATAGCTAGAAATAACCTTATGGTATGTCCCCTGATCATGGTTTTACTCAACCTCTAATGGGACTTCAGTTCTTTTTTGGGGGTTGATAAAAGTATAAAACCCAAGTGCTAAAAAAAAAATCATCACAAGATTATACTCTTCAAAACAAATAAACCATCAAGATAAATGCAGAATCAAATTCAACAAAACCAATAAAAAATATTACTTTCTTTATAAAGGGCTCACCTTGAGGGGGATATTAAAGAAGAAAAGACCAAGAACTCCATCAACCTTAGTATTAGTATCAAAGGGAATAACCCCTCTAGCCAAATCCGCGATCAAATAAATCACATCGTGAACAACCTCAAACCCATCCAAATCTAGCGTGGCGTTCACGTACGAGCTCCCTCGGGCTCTCACCCGCCCTCCTTCCGAACTCACCACCCCAAGCTCCCTCCCTCTATACCCAACCGAAACATCAAGCTTTTCATAGTCCAAAGAGAAGAAGTCCCTGTTACGGACCCTGATGGTCAAAGAAAAAGAGAGGTCTAGAGTGAGTTTGGGCGACGAGATCACTTCCACGTGGTTGAGTTGAAGTCGGGCGAGTTGGAGAGTTGGATCGGAAGGGTAGAGGAAGAATACAGCGGTTGAGAGGAGGAGGACGATGCCGGTGAAAGTGAGGCAACGGCGGATACAACAGTTGATTTGGTTAGGACGGTGGTAATAGACAGGTAACACTATGACGTTTTGTTGATTAGGGTTTGGATGGAGAAGTGTGTACGGCACGGAAGAGTCTCGCAAGTCCCGTTTCGACATTTTTGCTCTGGAGGTCGATTTTGGACCTTCGGTCGTGTTTTTTTTGGTAGAGGGTTTACATTCGATGAGGCCAAAAGTAGGAGGTGGACGCTTCTTTGGTGTACCAGATTGTCGTTTTATATTTGTTAAGGGTTACAGATTGTCGTTTTATATTTATTGAGGGTTACACGCCAGATGGAGCCAAGATATTTTTCCAATTTTTGGTATGGAAATTTTATGGTAGAAATTTTTTTTGTTTCTTTTTAAATTTAGCAAAAACAAACTTTAAATTTTAAATATTTAACTGGTATTAGTAGGGTTTTTTCCCCAATTTTTTAAGTATAAATCAATTAATAATTCGTTTCTTTACTAGCACACTACTGTTATTATTTTTTAAAAATTTTAAGATCATACACTAAATTAAAACTAATTATTCTTTTATATGTTATTTTTTGTGTTTGGACAAGTCTTATTTTGCGTTGCATTGGGCTTTTAAGATATTGGTAAGAGCAATGTTGAATAAGAAGATGAGAAATTTGAGATTTAGTTTAGTTTATTGATAATATTTAATTTTTTTTTTTTTATACCTGAGCTACAGCTTCTTTATAAAAAGATGAAATTGTATTGTTTTTGTATTATGGTCAAATAGTAAAATATTTTTTTTTTATTTTAATGTGTTTACTTAGACCTTTATATATCAATTAATTATCAAATTTAATCAATTTATTAACAGTTTAAAATTTTTTATTAAAATTGATGATGAAATTTTTATTTTTTTTAATGTGATATTTTTATTTACGTGATCGTTGAATTTGTTCATGTGTCAAAATTTTTTATGATGACATGATAACAAAATAATGATGTGATAAAATTTTTTGTTACATTAGCATTTTTTCAAGTTAATTTTTTTCACATTATATGATCTATCCATGTACTTTATCAAATGTAAAATTAATCATTTTATTTTAATGTATTCAATTAGATCTTTATATATTAATTAATTATCGAATTTAAAATTTGATCTAAAATAATTATAAAAAAAATCAAATGTAAAATTAATCATTCTACTTTAATATGTTCAATTTGATCTTTATATATTGATTAATTGTTGAATTTAATGTTTGATCTAAAATAATTACGAGAAAATCATTTTCAATGTAAAAGAATTGGGTCATAATCAGATTAGTGCGTGAGTCAACGTGCAGGTTGCACCAAACCTTCCTTCCAAAATAACATCATCATTCCAACATGTTATAAAAAATTTTTAAAAAATTATTTTTCATCATTTATTCCCCATTTTCTCTCTTTTGTTTCTCTTTATAAGTCCCCTTGAAAAATTAAACAAACCTAAATTCCAATGGGCTTTCTTAGATCCAATAATTGAAAATTTTAACGACCGAAAAAATTTATCTCAAAAACCCAAAAGCCACTAATACCTAGAAATCAACCGTCAATCCCATTGTGTTATCTTGATGATTGCTTCTATTATTGATTGTGTGCCATGATTTGCTGGGTTTATTTGGGTTTCTTGATCTGGTTTTTTTGTTTTTATCATTTTATAAAGTTTTTTTTATCAATTTTTTATTTTTATTTTTTAAAATTTAAAAATATTGAAAATAAAAAAAAAGAAAGAGAAATCAAAAGAAATAAATAAAAGAAGGATAAAGAAAATAAAATGAATAATCTGATTTATGTTGGATTTAAAATCCAATTTGAAACTAAAATGTAATTTATTAAATTAAAATCCAATTAATAATTCAAATGTCTAAAAAAATTATCTAAATGCAAAAAAAAAAAAAAAAAAACATGTTTAAGGTCAAGAATTATCTAACCGATTTGCTTGCGACTCAATTTATTTGCACTGAAAATGATTTTTTTGTACTTATCTTAGGTTTAAATTATAAATTTGACAATTAATTAATGTACGTGTATTCAATTAAACATAATTAGGTAAATGGATTAATTTTCTATTTTAATAAAAGTACAAAATATATTGTATAACTTGAAAAAATATTGATGTGACAATTTTTATTATATTATCATAAAAAGTTTGATACGTTAACAAAATTAAAAGCCAGATAAGCAAAAAAATGTTATGTCAAAAGTGTCAAATATCATATTATCAAATTTGATATAAAAAATTCAAATTATTAATAATTTGAGTAAATTTAATAATTAATTGATATATAAAAATTCAATTTAAATAGAGATACTAATTCTATCATTAAACTAAATTAGAGAGATAATTAATGCAACTTGACCTTATAAAAAAAATAATAAGACGAAGAAATTACCGATGCAAAAGCATGACAGTGATGGATCGAAAGAAAGAACAATTGGCTTGAATTTTTTTCAACTTTTTATTGAAGGGAAATAAACAGGAATTTTCTAGACTTTGAATAGCAAAGGCTTGAAATAAAAAGGCTTGAAATCAATTTGTTGACATTACAAGAAAGTTAGATGTTTCATCTAATTCATTTATTTAAATTTAGTATGATTTTAATTTTTATCAATCAAATTAATGTTTGTTTAAAATCATCTAATTATTTGTTTACTCTTATTTTTAAATATAGTAAAAATCATATAATCCAGGTGTCTCACACCTTAGAAAGAGTACTAAATATAATTCAACTTTATGTTTTTTTTTTAGTGAATTTATGTCTGTTTTTCTAAACATTTAACAAGAGAACAATCCATGCGGCCATGACATCTTAAATAAAATTATTGAAGATGTTTTGTTGGTGATGAGGGGACTAATTTCAATAATTCCATCATTTATTCACAAAATAGAAAAGGAAAGACTAGACAATCGAAAAAACATTGGATAAGGTAGTCTCATTAATTAATTAATGTTATTACGACTTTGAATCCATGTGCAATTAGGTTACAGATCATTCAGAAAGAGACAACTTTTTTTAAGAGAAAGAGTAATATACAAGGCACGTTGATGTAACAATCAATAATTTTTTTTTTCTAGAACAAATATCATAACTTCGAGATAAATGAAGAAATTGCAGATGAATTTCGCCGTTGCTATAAAAGAATTGGATAAAATAGATGATGCTTTTCTTGATCTTTCAAATCATCCGAATCGAATTTCAAACTTAATTTGACAAAAACCATTGCAGACCATTCAAAACTCATCTCAAACCATTGCGGTCCATAAAAAATTGAGAGGCAATAATCAAAATTTGACAAAACAAAAACTAACATGTAACATAGCCTAAACAAAGTAAATCAGCACTGTTTTGTGGACAAAGATCTCTTATCTTTTAAGTGAAAAAATCAACAATTGGGGCCAAATTGCATAGGCATCTGATCATCAATGGATTGGGACAGATTTTAATTTCTTTTGAATGTTCTTTAAACTGTAGTTGAAAGGAACATATATAACTTCATAGCTGGAAACCATGATATAAAGTTGGCATATTACGAAAAGATATGTTTCACCTTTGAACATGTCGAAGCATTTGGCAGTTAAAGCATCAAATATTTAATTCAATTGATTCATATTATATCTAACAAATTAAATTTAAAATTTGAATATCAGGTATGGCTATCTTTCTTTGTAAAAGACACAAATAACCTTTATCAAATTACATAGTCAGGTTTGGTTAAAAACTCAACCATGGGATAGAAGAAGGTAAAGGGAAACTTAGAAACAAGGTCAGTGCAAAGATAAAATTAACAATATCGAAACTAGTCATGATTTTGTTTGAAGATTGATTGCATATTTATTCATGCTGGTATTCTTTCATGAAAATTGACAAGTGTTGGATTAATACAAGATTTACAGTAGCCTGCAGGATAAGAGAGAGCTTTAACAGATAACAATCAAGAGAAGCAAAGCTCTTACTAATTAGTTGTTTAATTTTAGACAGGTGGACATATTTATAATCATACCCCGAGCAAATACAGGAAATCCAGCATACAGAGGAGATTGTTATCAGAACATGGAGGAGATCTAGTTTTGCTCCCTTTCTTTATGTAGATTCCACAGACTTGGGAGAAAGAGAAGCCACAGAACTACTGTTGGCAGGCATGGATTTGGATCGCTTGATCCAGGCTGATGAGCTTGACCGATGGAATCTGCATCGGAACGAGCCCTGGTGAGTCGTTGGTGAGCATAAACATTGGCCGGCTTTTGGTGAATTGGCTGCCACAGCTGCTTCAGAGACGCTGCTGCCTTTGGGAGAGGTGCTTACAGTAATGTTTCCATGGGAGGCCATAATTATCTGGCAAAAAGAAGAGAGATATTAAAGGAAAGTAATTTAAGTGGCAAACTTAAAAGAAGCTATTAGGCCTTGGAAATATATAGGACACATAGTAGGGAGGACTCAGATTTTTGTCTTTGTATAGTGTGCAAAGGTTGAAATAGGTAGAAAATAGAAATATCAATGGTTAAGATATGAAGTGGATAGAGTATTTTTTTTATTTTTATTTTTGAATTTTTGTATATTATGATATTTATATTTAATGAGTATTATAAATTTATTCTTATTTTGTTGATATTTAATGGGTACATATAATCTTCATACTTATAATTTTTTAAAAAATAAAAATAAAAATTTATTTTTTAAAATATTTTATTTTTATTTTATATATTTAGGTAAAATTTTTATAAATATATATATTAATATATATTTTCAATAAAAATATATTAATTTTATTTAATCTAAAATAATAATTATATTATTTAATAAAAAATATATTTACTAAATATATATAAATATATATAAGATACAGGTATTGACAATGCTATATTATATGTTTCCATCTTCATATATAATAAAAATTTAAAATCATACATATTCACATCTCTACAATGTAAAACCCATCCCATCTTTATCGGAGTAAAAAATTAAATTTCTTATTATATATAAAAAAAATTAACATAATTAAAAATAGTGCTAATCAAATGGTTGAGTTGATAAAATTCAAATAATTGATAATAATTAGATTTGAGTGTAGCTATCAACAATTCATTTGATAAATCTAATATATATATATATATATATATAATATAACAACATACATAAACAAATTTGTCACATAGATATTTATGCAGATAATTCTCTTAAATGACACATAAGATAATTTTTTAAAAGAATAAGATAGTTTCTTTTAATTACAAATTAGATAATTTTAAATTTATTTAAATATTAAAATTATTCAAATTATAATTGAAAATCAAATCAATTTGGAGATATATTTTTTTAAATTAAAAATACAAAATATGGATTCTATTTTTTTAATAAATAATTTTAGTTGTTTACCAAATAACCTTATTTAAACAATTATTTAATTATCAAAATCTTTTAAACATATTTAAAAATTACAAAGATTAAGTTTATCAAAATCATTCAACAATCTTTTTTATCTTGATTTTAAAAAATTTCTTTTTAAAAAATTTACGTAAGACATTAAAAATTGAAGCAACTTTATATAAGATTTTGAAAATTCAAAAAATTTTCATCATAAATTTTTAAATGATAATATCATCAAAACGATTAAATCCATTTAAACTATAATTATCAAATTTATATTTCAAATGAATATAAAAAATTTAATATTATCTTTATCACTTTTTATATCCATTTTAAATAAAAAAAAATTAATTTAAAAATTATTTATTTAATCTTAATTGTCACTAAAAAATTATTATACTACAAATGTAATGTGTTAAATATATTTTTTTAAAATTTTTCAGTAATTTTTTTCAAGGAATATTCTATTACTATTATTTTTTTTTGTTTATAACTTTTTTCAAGATATATTTTATTATTATTACAATTTCATTCTTATGAAAAATAATTTTTTTTCAATTCATTTTATCTTCATTCATATATTTTCTAACATTTTAATATTTTGCATAATAATTTAATCAAGATTACTAAAATAAAAGTATGTTAATACTTCTTATATTATTTAATTTTTCAGTTAATAATATATATATTTTTAAGAAAGACATAATTTATTTTTATTTAATATAATCTCACATGTGTATAAATATTATTGTAAAAAAAAATTCAAGGGAAAGACATAATTTTTTTACTGTTTTTTAAAAATTTATTTTTGAATGAGAAGTTGATATATATAAATTTTATATATGTTATGAATTTTAAAGATTTGAATATAAATTTATATATATATTTATATTAAATAAATAAAATTATTTTGTGCATCATATATGTTATAATCTAATTTTTTATAAATTTAATGGAAGTCTTCTTTCAACATACAAGTCTGCCCTATCCCTATGACAAGGAAACCTCCATCGCCCTAAACCAATAGATCAAGTGGTTCCCCTCTTTGTGATTTCACGTTGTTTGTCTTCATCTCAACCAATCAACAAAAATCCACCCCAATTCCGTGGTGACAACGCACGAAGAGATATGGGGTTAGCTTCCCTATGTTCAGATTTTCACGTTCACAACGAAATATGAAAAGGGAATTATCATTTGGTAAACCGAGCATCACAAAAACTACATAGTCATTTTCCCAATTTATTGTGATTGAAATATATGTACATTTTCATGCATTTTCTCCCCCTTCTCCGAGTATTTGATAGGTTCATTTGGATGGACTTGGTAAAATTAAAAATAATAATAAAAGTTATTATAATTATAATTAAAAAAATATTATAATTATTATTAAAAAAAAATTTATATTAAATAAATCTCACTGAAATTAATATTTAAATTTAATTAATAATACAATGAGTTCAATCACATAATTTAAACTATGACTGAGTCACTAGCCAAATTTTGCCATCATAAATCAAACACAATTTTATTAACATACTAATATCTAAACCAATATTTTTGCCAACGTTTTTGTTATATCAGAATCTATCCTAAGCCCATTTTTGTGATACCTAAATTTGGGTATTGTTCAATCCTAAAAATCAACTTTGAATGAGACAACATCAATCATAAAAAACCTTCATATAGATTAGTTCCTAATTCTTTAGTTAGTTCCACTTTGTGTTGAATATGGTAGGGTATTAAGGAAAATGGTAACCATTTCCATGTTTGGAAACACAAAAAAAAAAGGAGATAAAATTTATATGAAATTTTATAGGTAAAGTTAGTGAAATTTTTTTATTAAAAATGAATAAATAACAAATTTAATTAAAAAGTCAAATTAATAAATTGTTAGAGTTCAATGTGAAAATAAAAAATATGTAAAAAAATTATTTAAAATATTATTTATAATTCAAATTTGATCGATATTAATTTAACGGTAAAAATTTTATCAATATTTTTACTAAAAATATTAATTTAATAAATATATCAAAATTTATTAAATTTTTTTCAAATTTTATATGAGTGATCTATGTGATAAAAATTTTCAATCGCTTGATTTTAATTTTTATTAATTCATTTCTAATAAAAAATTTCACTTATAAAATTTTATATAAATTTTTTTCTAAAAAAGAATAATCTACTGGTTTGGGGTAACTTTTGGAAATAAACTTGAAATGGAGCTGAATAATTAGTTTTCTATTCTCAAAACTAAAGCAAATTGCATAATTCTATGTAAGCAAATCCACATTGCATTATCAATTTTCCAAATTTGGTAAAAAATAACACTTTATCTTAGGTCTTTATATAGCTTCACTTAATAGATATGCACACAAAAAAAAATATGAAAAATATATTAAAGAATACATGAAAATACACCATATAGCAAAGCCAACAGCTTGAAAATCAGATAGCAAAGCCAACAGCTTTGCTTATTACTTAATCTTGTTGATACATTGATGGTGATGGATGGATAACTCCAATAATCAAACATATACTTGCATGTGTACCCAAACCTGACATGGATGCCCTTCTCAAATACAACCAAGAAAAAAAAAAAAGAAACAGCTAAATGCTAATGCAATGCAAATGAAACACCAAACACCAACTTACCAGTCAACCGACAAAACTACCGGTCTCACTTAAGAAACAGAAACTGCTATTCCCACTCCCGTTTTATACGCTTCCTAGGTTTCTAAAGCTAATCTTTGTTTGACACTTCCCTGGAAACAATAAAAAGCTCCTGGAGCTAGCCATTTTCTTCTTCCTGTTATCTTCTAATAAGCTTTTGTGAAGTTCCATTTTGTCTTCCATTTCGCTTTCAACTGATTATTTTCAATCCCCTGTTTCTCTCTTGAAGTTTTCTATCTGTGGAACTCTCTGTTTCTGGGAATTCTGATCAAAGCGTTAATGGCTAGGACGAGCAACAAGAACATACAAGCGAAGCTGGTGGGTATGTCTTTCCATTTTCTTTTTTTTTTTTTTTGGGTATTGGTTTATTGATTGGTTGTTGGGTTTACAAAAAGGAAAGATTTTGAATCAGAAAATTAATTCTTTTTCTTTTTCCACTGTAAACATGACCTTGATGCCTGAACCAAAATTATGATCATGAAAATGCTTTAAAGAAACATATTCTTGCAAACACAAAATGGAAAGTGCCACTTTTGAAGTAGTACTAACAGTTTTTTGCCCTATGCTTTATCTGTTGTTTTGATTTAAATCCTGAAACCAGTACCTACTCTCATGAGCTTGAACTGAATTGGTTTCAGTAATTTGATTGCTACTGGAGATCAATGGAGAAATTGCTTTGTTTATTGATTGGTTACTTATTTTCTTAATTTTTTTCTATTATGTAGATATAGTTCCTCATTGTCCTAAATTATAAGAATTTATGAACCCAAAGGTTCAATTTTTTATTTTCATCGGTTGTTACTTTCTAAAGAAGTAAGTTTTTTAAGACAGTTACACATTGTTATTTACTAATGAATAGTCATGAAATTCATGAATGTCCAAAAGAAGAGGTAAAACTGACATGAATTTTTTCCCAGGTACTTGTTGGGGACGTGGGAACTGGGAAAACAAGCTTGGTATTGAGATTTGTCAAAGGACAATTTTTTGACTTCCAGGTTTATTTTCAGTTTTACTTTTCTTATTTTTCTGCCTTTGTGATATCAGCAAGGTATGTCCATCTAATTATAAGTGTATAACTAATGTAGGAATCGACAATTGGAGCAGCCTTCTTCACTCAGGTTTTGTCACTGAATGAAGCCACCATAAAGTTTGATATATGGGACACAGCAGGACAGGAGAGATACCATAGCTTGGCTCCTATGTACTATCGAGGTGCAGCCGCTGCTGTTGTGGTCTATGATATCACAAGCTCGGTAGTTTTCTGTCAAGCTTTTTATGCTTTATTTTGGTTTATCAACATATTTATTCAGTTTTGATTAAACATCTCTTGGTTACTGATGTCCCTATGAGTTATGAATTTCACCAATTGGGTCCAACCAATACCAAAAGATACTTGGATACAAGTTGTCATGATAAAATAGCAGTATATGAAGAGTCTGATTATCTTGCCTAGATACTCTATCTGCATATCTAGTTATTTGAAACTTGCCTAAGTAATAGTAATAGCTCGTGGCATAGCTGGAACAGGGACATAACCCCACCTTGTCCTCTCCCTTACTGTTACTGTATAGTGTCTCTCCGTGTGGATCGTTTACTGTTTCCTTGTCTTTTTTTTTTTTTGTTTTCCAAATACAGATAATTTATTAAAGGTGATAGATGTGTGCATTTGTTGATTATAACGGACAAGGACTTGAAGCTTATATATGTTGATCGTACTTTTTAAATTTATCCATTTTAAGGTTATAAGAAACTAGTTGACATTTCTTTTTTTTATTCTTACATGGAGTTTCTTTCTTAAATACTGCTGCCGTCAGGCATTCATGCTTTGTAATTGGATGTCCATCTGATCAATTAATGGTTGGTTTTTCAGGACTCATTTGAGCGAGCCAAAAAGTGGGTTCAGGAACTGCAAAGACAAGGTAATAGACAAACAATCTAAATGTTTTATTCATAGGACTGAAGTTCATTAGAGGTCTTTGTTCACTTTATCATTTCTTTCTGGTAGCAACCTTACTGCTGACGTCACCTGTCCTCTTGCAAATGAGATTTGTTGGTGTCTTTATGTTTACTCTTTTACTGATTTTGGAGTACCTACCCTCTTAAAATTTGAAGTATACTTCCAGCACCATTTTTTCTACAAAATTTAAATCCATAGATTGGTTTGAATTTCTGTCTTCAGTATTATGAAAATGACCACGTGTAGAACTAATAATTCAAGCATGTTTCATATTTCTTATCATGTTGTTTGATTCATATTACACTGGTCCAGGAAATCCAAATCTGATAGTGTTCTTGGTAGCAAACAAAGTTGACATGGAAGAAAAGAGAAAAGTGGGAAACGAGGTATCTGCAATCTGATATTTGCTTCAATTATCTATTTTTCCTTTTTGCTACTAGAAAGATTGCAATTACAGGCCCCACTTCTTGGTTGATTACTGCTATGCTAGGACATCTTGAAATTTGCTTTATGTCACTCATAGTTGCTTGCTGTTATCAAAGACATTATCATGGCATTTCAAAGAAGGCTCCTATTAACATTTAGGTTACTTTGGGTCATTGCCTAAGTTCGTCTCAGTCACAGTATGCACTTTATTCCACGGACTAGACCTCGCCATTGGTGAATCATTCATTGGTGTGATAAATGTACTACACTGTTTTTATTCTTGTTAATGTCTTCCGAGAGAAACTTGTGCTAAATAGTAAGAAGGCCATATCACCACTGCCTAGAACAGGGATGAGGAAAACAGTCAGATTGAAAAGATGAACAATCCCTGTGTATATTGAAGTCAGTCTTAATGTTTTATGCAGGAAGGTGAGCTGTATGCCAAAGAAAATGGCCTGACTTTCCTTGAAACATCTGCGAAGACTGCACAGAATGTCAATGAACTCTTTTATGAAATAGGTAATACTATATTTTATAAGCCATTTTCTCCATTATGATGCAATTTGAAGCTCGTATCACTATGTATTCTCTTTTGTCATTGGCAGTAGGTCATAGCACTTAAATTCTCACAATGCATGTATAGCATAAAGCAGTAGTCCTAAAGACAGAAAGGAAATGATCTTTGAATGCTGTCAATATCTTCACTATTAATCATCACCATATGGCTGATAAACTCATCCAAAAGCTTGCTCTCAGATGCCCATTAATAAGAACCGATTTATCTTGGAAAAAAAAATGTGTCAGCTTTAGTTCATTTCTGTTTATTTGAGTCAAGCCAGTATCAAACAATTATCCACTTAGTTTTAGACAATCAAAGAATTTAGCTTAAGTTTTGAGTAATCTATTTTGCTCAACAATATTTAGCTTGTAGATAGCCCTTTGTTGATGTCAATTCACAGACAGCCTCTAAACTTCTTTCTTACGCTCACACACTCTCTTGCAGCAAAGAGGTTGGCAAAAGCTGCTCCTTCTCGGCCAACTGGAATGAAATTGCATAGCAGACCGCAAGAAAGTGGAAGAAGATTCTTCTGTTGCTCCTGATCATATGAAGGCTAGTTGTATACTTGTATGTTTGTATTATTGACATCTAAGTTCTCGCAAATCAGTTTTAATCTTGGATAAATCTGGCAACATGGTTTTATCACTCACGGGGAAAAATTCACCTGCCACTCAATTTAGCCTTGTCAACCAAAGACACGAAGGTCTTATTACCATGACTGAGGTTTTATGTCTGGGCTTAATTTCTAGGCTCTAGCTTCCCCTGGAGTGATGGAATCATGGCTGTTATATTAACTACTAAGATCTATGCATTTCCCCTTGATTACAACCAATCTTTTTCTGGCCTCACTTATTAATTTAACAGGTTTCTCAATTAATAGTTGGCAATTCATTGCAGGTCACTTTGATGAATATCTGAAGATTAAGATGCTTTCTGGCCCCTAATTCACTTTGATGAATATTTGCTGTATGTACACTGCTCAAACAAAACAGCTTTATTACCAATTCCAAATGCCCTCATTTTGTGCAAGAGATGATCATGGAACTCCAAATGAATAATGGCTCAATGCAAAGAAATTAATTTAACTATTGAACTATTAGGGTTTATGTCCAGTATTACTTATGTTTCAAGCAATATGAGCAAAACTGAGTTAAACAAAACTGGGAGCTATTTATCACCTAATTATATATGATGGCACTAGGGCCATAGTTGTCCTGGAGATTTCAGTTTGGCAGTCACAATGCTTCCATCAGTGCATACAAAACTCCAAAATTAGCCTTCTCGATTGGTGAAAATCTATATTGAAATTAACAGATTCTTTCCTGGTCAGTATCCACGTTGGATACGCAAATATAGATCCTGGACATGAAAGGAAAAGTAAATAGTATAAAACTTTGAACCTTTTGCCCTTTCCCCATTTCCATTCATCAGTCATTATTTTCTGAAGTTGATAAGAATTTTTATGATATGCTGGACAAGTTTGTTTTAATTTAAACAACAAATTGGTTATGATTAACTGTTGATATCCGATTTAATATCAGCAATGATGAACTTTGTTGGGGACTTTTCACAGGTCAGAAAATAAATCTAGGAAATGGATTTCAACACAGCAGTGCTCACCAGTCACCACTATAAATGTGTACTTTGTAAGGCATAAGTGGGGACAGTGCTGGATTGGGGTTTTTTTTTTTTCATTTTGAGGGTATTTCTTTCCATTTATCAAGGCATAGGGTGCCCACATATCACCACGCTTCGAGCAACCTATGCTTAATAAATTCAGTCAGTTCAGACTTCAGAAACTGAAGCTTCTTACCCTATGGAGCTCATAGAAACCAACAAGACGTGTCATTATATAATGTGGATAAAGCCTCGCAGGTGACCATTTCGTGTTTTGGCTTTTAATGCATAGAAATCACCATTCGAGGCCCCTCAAAAACAGAGAGAATTTTTTTTTTTTTTTTTGCTTTTTAAATTTTCTATTTCTTTTGGTCCTTTAGTACTGTTGTCAGTTTGCAATATCACATGCGTTATTCAATATCCCGAAAACACAAAACCATAAAGCTTTGTTTTTCTGCTGTCTACAACTTTCCAGAAACACCCCCAGAATCAATGAATTCAAGAAAGCATTGCCGTCAAAAAAAGATTAAAATAAACGTTCAATGCCTAAGAGCTAGTTTTAACAGAAATTAAGTCTAATCACCATGAAGGAGAAGTGAATGGAGAACCTGATGAAGATGATGAAGGACCATTTTTACTATTAGAATCACTACCCAAAGTACCTAAAGACCTAGCATCTCTAAGAGAGACAGAACAAGCCTGAGCTGGTAGTTTCTTCATTGGACTCAATGGAGGTGTCATTGGGGGTGAGTAGTGTCTAACATGAGATTGACAAGGCTGAGCCTTGCCATCATCGTCCCCTGAAGAACCGCTGCTTTCTAAACGTGAAGGGGATGTATCTGGAGTCTCGAACTGAGTATCTGGGCTGCCAGCATCATTGTCGTAAATAGGATTCGATATGTAAACAAAATTCTCCACACAAGGACCAGAACAAGTATTAGTACTCCTAGTGCCAACTTGAACTGAGATTTCTTGAACAGGGTTCGGTGAGGTCGCAAAGGAAGTCGATGGAGATGTAGGAGATAAGATACCAATTTGATGAGGGCTTGTGTTTGATTCATGCACATGGACTTCAAGGACTTGATGAAGGTAAGTGAGATGGTTCTCATTTTCAAGTCTCTTTTGTTTGCAAGGGAGTACAGCAGGGAAGAGGAAGTTCCTCGGTGCATGAAGAACTCCATGTGCATAGAAGCTACTGAGGGAACTGGTCGATTGGTCTTGGTGATTATCTTGAGGAGGAAAGGAAGAAGTAGCATTGGTGGGGGTGGTGGCAGCAACGGCAGCCGTTGCGGTGTTGCTAACTGTAGAGCCGGAGGTTGACTCTTTGAGCTGACGCCTGCGGAGTAAGAGAGAGCAATAGAGCTCCGCTAGCAGCACTAGGATTAGACCTAATACAATGGCAATGCTCACCACCATTACCAGTGTTGCACCCATTATTACTTTGTAAGCCCCCTTCAGTATTTTACTTTCTTTCTTTCTTTTTTCCTTCTGTTGACCGTGGTCTGAGAGAACGGAGTGAAAGTGGGACAGTAATTAAAGAAAGGGTATGAAAGTATTTTTGGCGGGAAACAGTCCTTTACCTTTGACAAGGAAAAGCAGATGGGAGGGGGGAATCTTGTGAAGCTTTGGGCCTAATGTAACAAGGAGATCTTTTGTTCTGAGGTGGTTGGTTTTTTTTTTGTTCTCCCGCCATTTAATAACTGCAACATTAGCTTGATGCATCATGATGACTTTCTCCGCTCTAAGGTCTAAAACAGTTTGAATCCGCGTAAATGTCATGGCCAATACGCCCATTCATAGGATTTCCCATCTCGGTTCTCACTCATTTGTGGATGACAGACAACGTTTCCGAAGAAAAACTAGCATTAAAATATATTGAACGATGAGCAAGCAGCCATTGAGTGATCTCTCCTGGGAACACTGAACAAGATACCTTTCATCCCAAAACGAAGTGGTGATAAAAGATGAGAATTTTACCTTAATTTAAGGTCCTCTGATGCATGGGATTTGCCAAACAAAGCCAACTTTGGAATCTGAGATACACGGTTACTGAAAATTTTAGATAGGGTTTCGGATATTCTCAGAAATAGCATGTACCCTACCCGTTGCCATTTATCTAACTTTAATAACATTGAACCAATATCAAGTCTCAACTTGCTACCCACTAATACAGAAACTTGGATGCATGGATTACACATCTTTTACAATCATGTTATCTAAAAAGTGAATCAGCAAGTGTATAAATGCTTGTTACGGCCATGGGTCATAGAAATAGTAATACCAGTGCTATAAACTCATAAGAAAGTATACTCAAACTGCTAAGCACTATAATGCTAAGTGCAGGGGCACCACCTGTCTGATCAAAGTATAGTTCAAGGTTTCCCCAAAATTCGGCAGCAGCACCAACTCAGCAAAGCAAACGCAAAGAGTTTAAGAATGAGGCAACCAAACTGATTAGATTAAAAATAATGATCTAGTATGCTTAAAGCTCCCTCTATCTCCCTTTCATTGCTGCAAAGTGAGATGCCAACTCATCATAGTCAGGCAACTTCGGATGCACATGTCGGGCTGCATTTGACCTCTCTTGCTGGAAGGAAGTAGCACGAGCATACACTTTAGTTCCCTCTGATTGAGCTGTTTGCTCACGAGGGAGGGAAATTGAACGGGGTGGACGGGAAATGGTCTCAGGCATATTATCATATTTATCCCTGCTTGCTTTCTGTGGGGCTTCACTTGCATCACTTCCCATATGATGTGCATGACGACTTTTAGACTTTCTTCTTATCTTTCCCTCTTCAGAGGATGATGGCTTCTTGCTGTAATGCATCAACAGTTTATCAATTATCTTTTCCTCCTCATTATTTTTATGCTGCTCATCATCAAATAAGATTTGCAGGCCTCGACTTGAATCTTCCTTTCTCTTGCTTCTTGGTTTTCTCCTTGCAAATTCTGTATGTTCAACATTGCTGACTTCAATATGACCAGATGCTGATTTCAAATGTTGCCTCCTAGATGATCTTCGTCTTGGTATAGGGGTATCACTTCCATCACGGTTATAGTAATAATCATTTTGGCAATCATGACCATTCACTCTTGTAGGTAGAATTATCTGCCGCTGTTTATCAGGATGATATAACCCTTCTTGGCACTTATCAGTCCCATTAGCTGCATAGGCCCTGTCATGTGTTGAAGGATTACCATAGACTCCATTGCTGTCAAAACCAGCAATTGAAGATCCTGCATTGTCACCATGCTTGCGATCCTTTTGTTTAATACTGGGTTTAACATAAGGAGGAGGCTTCCACTTGGGTTCATCTTCTTCATGAGTTTTTCTTGTTGAATTTTGGACACTGTATTGGCCAGCATAGTTATCATCAGCGAACGGGTCTTTATCATGATTCTTTGACCATGGAGCCGCATAACTAGGATTTAGATCTGGCTTTCTCTGTGGTAGAACATCTTGGTTATCTATTCTAGGTACAGTATTCTCCCCATCATCTTGTAGCTTGGTTCCACCATCAGCTCTTTCCATTCTTTTCCCATGACAAGAATTGCTTAATCTTGCTGTTTTCAAGGCAACATCATCCTTCCCATTCCAAAATTCAAGCTTACCTGCAGACACTTCTTGTTTTTGCACTAATGGAACGTCAAGATTCTCCTTTCTTGCGAGAGCTTCCTCCCTGCCAAGAGGCAGATCGTATCCCTCAACAGTGAATTCCAGTTTAGGAGGACTGATGATGTCATCCCTTTTTGAGACATTATCCTCCTTGCAGTTGTTCAATCTGTGCCCACCCTTACCCACTTCAAGCTTTTCTTTGGATGAAAGTTTAAGTTTATCCCGTTGTGGATCAGCACTTCTTCCATCATTTGATTTATGATAATCACCATTGACATGGAATGACCCATAACATTTAGGTTGGTCCTACAGAACAATTACAGAGATCACAAGAGTTCCAGTGTGAGTAGACCATATGGGTAAGCTCAACAGGAATATTAAAAAGTAAAGATCAAACACAAGGAGAGACATACCTGTGGAATCACAGTAGGCTGAGACATTCTTCGCTCAAAAGCTTCAGAGTCCCATTTTATGGAAAACTCTGATGCTATATCATGCATTACCTTGACTTTTTTCTCCATTATGGAAGGATTTGAACCTGAACTCTCGACAAGCTATCATGAAATTTACAAGGTTGGTAATAGTAATGCAGTGATGGAACCATTAATTATTCTCCTTTTGGAGTGGATTATCGGATATTTACCTGTTTATTGACAAATAATTCCAGTGAATTTCCATATCTCTCATGGAATATTTGCCTAAGATCACGCAACTGTGGCAAATCGGAGAATCTTGCAGCTGCAAACATTAGAGATGAGACGGCCTCCCTACAATCTTCAGGGCAAGCACTGTATACATTTATTGATGAGAGTAAGCAACTGTTGTTTTCAAGTGCTTATTAAAGATAAATTTCAAGAAAACAAATAACCTAAGAAGTTCACAATCTGTCTCATTTTGTGAAAGTAAAAAAAAAGTTCAATCAGAAATTTGCAACCCATCTATGTCCCCTGCAAAGGTAAAAACATTTTATGTTGAAGCATAGTTCCAAGATCAATCAGCTAATATGCTCATATATTCACATTTCTTCTCTAGCATTAACTTAAATGTCATAACTATTAGCTTAGTTGATGAAAACTAGATCCTTCTCCAGTGTTACTGATTTGTAAAAATACCAAAAACCAAATCCATACATTACACAGCAGTCCACAGTCCTTGAAATTACTGATATAAATCAGTGATAAAAGAAGGCATACAAGAACAGGAATTTCTTGTGGAGCCAGAACAACAGTCTCATCAGAAAAAACCTTTAAATAATCATGGTAAGGTAAGAGAAATTTCAATCTTTTCTTTAGCAGACATTTCTTTTCACTTTTTAAAAAATTTTCAACCTAAATAACATGGTGAAAAGCTGAATGACAAGAAACTTTTCAACAAATTCCAGTCTGAGATACATTACTCAATCCTTCCACATTTAATAAGCCACCCTTTTCTGACCCACAAGCATTTTATTACTTTAAATTCAATTTTCCTTTTAACCGTTAGCAACAGATAAATATGTTCATCCATTCAACCTCAAATCCAACTTAGCATGAAAAAATGCAAAAGCCTCTTGATGCCATACAAGAAGAGGAAAAGCAGGAAGTGATCCACAAAGAAGAATGACAACCAAATCTTGCATTTAGCCTGCTCACTGAAATGGCCACCTCTATCAGCCACATGCTAAAAGCATATGTAGCTTGTACTGTCAAAATTAAAGTCCAGACAAGATGGATCCGATTACAAACAGCAGCAGAGTATTGCTCACAGCAGTATATTTTAGCATCTAAGCTTAATGTTATTGCCATCGAATTGCACTAGAGATGATGGGAATATAGAAATGAGAATTGGCAAATTTAGGATCACCCCCTTACATAATTACAATTGCCCTTTTATACCGATATTTAAACAGATATATGCCGATACAAAAGCCTAGAACAAGTGGCCACTGGCAAGTCATGTAAACACAGCAAAGGGATATCACATTTCGAGCTACCATTATAAATACGATGTAAAAATAAATTTTATCTAACAGAAACAAATAATACAGCCATATATACCTCAGTTTTTCCATAAGTGAAACATGCTTCGACACGAAATCGCAACATTTCTCAACAAAATCATAGCAAGACGAAAGGATCGATTCAGCTACATATCCTTCCACCTGGTTTACCACCTCGCAAAAAATTAACACAAACATTCATTTTTATGCCAATAAAAAAGAAAAAAAAAAAAAAGCATAACTTTTTCAAATATCCAAACAAGCCCGAGAAAAAATGCCTAAAAATTCGAAACCTTATATTCCATTATTAAGCATTCTAAAAACTAAAACAGAAAAAAAATAAATTTAAATCAAATTCTAAAATTTTGAACACTTCTTTTTTCCTGCAATTTTGCATAGAATATAAGGATTAAAAATAGGAATAATAATTTTTTAAAAAAATTACCCTGTCATAAGCGATAATATCATGGCCATTGGCGAGCAGATCAGCTATATCTTTCTTCAAAAACTTAAGCGTCGCAAGCTTCTTCCTCCTTATCACATCGATCCGACTCTTTATCGCTTTTATCAATGATTTACTGCCAAAAAAAAAATCCTAACATCAATTTAATTTTCCAACAAAAAAGAAAAAAAATGCATTTATTTTAAGATAAAGTAGAAACCATTTGGAGGCAAAACCACGGCCTAAGATTCCGTCCAGCATCTCCGATCACTACTTTATTCAACTAAGTGGAACGATTCGACTCAGGTAATTCAAAAACGACACCGTAAACTCGAAATACAAATCAAGAAAACGCAAGATCTGCCATTAAAGAAGAAGAGAAAAGGCTCTTTGGTTAAGCTTCTTCAGTGCCGTCTCTAAGACTACTTCTTTGGAAACACTCATTTCCAGATTTACGCAGTACTTTACTGCACCTTCAAAAAAAAACAAGGAACCATGTAAATTTACGATCATAACCTTAATGTTTCCGTTTAACGGTGGGTCCTCAAACGATCGTTCATTTAAACAGTGGGAGGTTAGTTTAGGGAGTTGAAATGTTTTTATTTGGTGCGGATAGGACAGTAGGTGGGATAGATCGTGGCCGTTGGATGAGGGCAGTGGGTCGCGAAAGTGGACGGTAAGATGGGAGTGTTTTCGTTTCTCTCTGGTGGTTTAAAGAGGAAGAATCGTATAATTAAGGTTACTAATCAAGTGCTTAAAGCTCGCTAATTAATGTTTTATGAATGATGATGATTTTGTAGTCGCTTTAAGACAAAATTCCGAGTACATGGTTTCAGTGAATTTGTCACTGTACGATAAAAATAAAAAGCCGTTATAACGGTTTTAATCATTATGTTTTTCTGTTGGTATTTTACTACAAATCAATAAATGTTATGGAATTATTTATTTCCAAATTTTAAATTAATTAATTTATATAATTATTTTAAAAGATAATTTTAATATCTTATTTAAATTTTAATTCTTATAATTTTTTTCTTATTTTTAATAAAAATTAAAAAGCAATCGTTAACATCTGCTAATTCACAATGGTATATTATAAAAATTTTAGGTGAGGTTGGGAAGTGACAAGGACCCACTCACTGTATTTGTTCAACTAATCATTAGGGGCTGACTAATTGATTGAACTTAGATTTTATTTGGATGAGTAATAAGATTAATTTTGATGAGATAAAAAATAATTATAAAAATAAAATTAATTATTATAATAATGAAATTATAAATAATAATAAGATATATGTTTAGATGTAAAAATAATAGTGTGATAAAGTAAAAATAAAAAATAACCATTAAAAACTTATGATTATAAGGTAAAAATAAAAAATAAAAAATCAGAAGGATAAAGTTAAAAAAAATAAATTCCATGCGACTACATAATTTTCACAGGAGCTTTTAGCTCCAATTGCTCACTAGCACTAATCATGCCTCAAAAATGGAATCCAAACGAAAGAATGGTACATTTGAAGTGAAAAGCAAGCAAGTCTAACCTTCTTAATGCTTGGATGAGTTCTAAATGAAGCCTAAGAGTATAAAGGCTTAATTTTTGGGTTAAAATGCAAAAAATGTTCCATCTACTCATTGGGTGCCACTCAATTTTCAAAAACTTTAATTTAATATAAGTATCTTAATGAATTTTTATATAATTTATTTATATTAATCCCACTAAAATGAATAGAAATTTTAAAAAAGGATAAAAATTTTCTTAAAATGTCTTATATTTATATTATTTTTATATTATATTATATTATGTTATATTATATATGTAGTTATAAATTTTTTATTCAATACAAATTTACTACTAATAAAAATATTCAATTAAAATGTAAAATGTGACATATTTTTAAATATATTATTTCATAATTTTTTAATTTCATTTATTTGAGAATATTACTAACTTGAGAATGAGATCGTATCTCAATAGTAAAAAGAAAGCTTTCAAACTTTTAAGTCTCTATGTTCAAGTTCCACCAACTAGAGTTTTATCCAAAATTATATATTCATTGGTTGGCTATTAATTTGGTTTGCCTCTTGTCTTATTTTTTTGTTGTATATTAAAAATTATTTAATTATGATTATAATTTCTTTAAATACATATAATTTCATAAAAATATTATTTATTCTTATATTTAAACACATCATTTCTCTTATTCTTTTAGAAAAAAAAATAGCAAAGTAAAAATGCAATAGAAGCCAACTTAATTTATAAAATTCAAGAATTATAAAATCATATACTTAAAATAATATTTCATTTTCACTGTATTAATTTTTGAATGAAGAGATAATAAACTTATATAATTTTATAAGTTTAAAACTTTTTGACTTTAACAGATTTTTTTTTTTCAATAATGTAATGTTTATAGAATGAAAGCTAAAATATGACTATTAATATATATTTTTTTTACTATGTCTCTCATCTACTATATGCTTTTTTTTAGTTTGATATTTAAAAAATAAAATTCATAATAATGTACTTAAACTTTCGTTTCATTATACATTTTGATATTTTAGACTAATGTTATTAGTCACATTGTTAACACGATAGCAATATCCAATAAAATTATGATATATGTCAAAATATTCAATTATCGCAATATCATCATTACCATGTCAGCATTAGAAAAAAATTATAAAAAAAAATTTTAAAAATTAAGGAAAGACTTGAGAATTTTTTAAATACCTAAAAAATAAAATAATATTTTGAAAAATTAAAAATTCAAGAAAATTCTAAAAGATTAAAAAATTAAAAATTTGCCAAAAATTTCAAACAAAATTTGAAATTTTTTTAAAAATTCCAAAATTTGAAAAAAGGAAAATAATTTGAAAAATTAAAAGATAATAAAAATTAAAAAAAATCTTAAAACTAAAAAAAAAAAAAAAGAAAAAAACAAAAAATTATAACATAGTAAGAAATTTAAAAAAATCTCTAAAATAAAAATATGAAAAGTCTTAAAAATTCCAAAAAAAAAAAAATTAAAGAATAAGAAAAATATGAAAATTTAAAAAAATACACGAAAAATTTTAAAAATCTGAGAAAAAAAAAAAGAACGATCTTAAATATCCTAAAAATTCAAAATAAAATAGAAGAAATTTTAAAAATTAAAAAAATAGAAATATTGAAATATTTTTAAAAAATTAAAATTTGAAAAGCAATTAAAAAATTAGCAATCCATAAAAATGAAAAATAAAGATTGGCCTTGTAAAATTTTTTCAAATTTTTAAAATCTTTTTTTGTTTTTAGTTTTTAGATTTTTTATGTGTTTGTAATTTTGTTGGATTTTTTTTAAAAATTTATTATTTATTAGTTTTTTTTTCATTTTTTAAAATTCCTAAGATTGTTTTTAATTTTTCATATTTTCTTAGATTTTTTTTGAATTGATCCTTATTATGAAATAATAAAACATTAAACTAAATAAGTTTAATTATGATTTTACAAAAAAATTATTTAGTACAATGGTTTTAAGTTTAATTATTTTTGCACTAAAATATATAATATATTTATGAAAATGATATTTGATTTGCTAAAACTTGAAAAACTTGGAAAAATATTTTGAACTTAAAAAATATTTTTTTGCCAGCTATGTTTCAAGAGAAAAATGTCTTAATATGAAAAACTAATTTCTCTCTTTGTTTAAAAATGTTTTTATGCAAATTTGAAAAGAATAGATCAATTCCTTGTCAAAATGAACTAATCCCTTGAGTTATAAGATCGATTTATTTTTTAGCCATAAAGTTTCTAAGTTTAATTTTTACAAAATGTATCAATCTTTTATTATATAGGATCGATTGGGTTTAGGGTTTGAAAAAATAAATTGTTCCTTTACGGGAATTGATCAATTGGTTTTTTTTTTTTTCTAGAAAGCTACGAATTGCATAACAACACAAAATGATCGATCATTTATAAGAAGGGATCAATCAGATCCAAAATAGGATCTATCGATTCTTGTTGTTTCTGGTTCAAACAGTTGGTATTTCAAATGTTCAATGGGTATTTTCTTATCCAATCAATTCTCAATGGTTGCAAGCTCATTTTCTTTATAAATTGGGCATTTTAACACACCATTGATGAAAAAGAAACAAGATAGTAAACACTAATAAGCCTTACTTCCATTCTTTCAAGAATGCAAAAGTTTTTAAATCTTAAATTTAAAATCCTTTGTATTTCTTGTATCCAAACTAAATTTTATTATTCATTTATCATCCTTTGTATTTTATTAGGTAAACACTTAACTTTTAAGAAGAATTTTTAACTTTGTAAAACATTAAAGCTAAATTATAATCAAGAGATGAGACATCCTCTTGAAAATATTTGAGAGTTTTTGTAGAAATTCATTTTGAGTAATTAGAGGTTGCTACCTTAACTTAGAAAGCTAAAATATTAGAGTTTGCTATCTTAGCCTAGAAAAATAGAGATTGAAAGGTTGCTATCTTAGTCTTTAAAAGATATGGATCGTATTTTGATTCAATTAGTAGATTAATCTTGGCTAAAAAAGCTAAGAAAGAAGATTTAAGTGCATTTGGAGAAAAACTGAACTTCTACAAATTTATATATTTGATTTCTCTATCCTTACTTTCTTTAATTTAATTATTATTTATAATTGCTTCAAGTTCATTAATTGTGGTTAATTGCATTATATTTTTATATTAATTTTAATTTTTCATTCAGTTATATTAAAGCTATTTAAGGAAAGAATTTTTGAAACAATCAAATTCACCCCCACTTTTGAATTACTAACACTTGAGCTAACGGTTTTATTTTTTAAATTTTTTTAGTTTTTCATAGTTTTTCCTTTTGGTATAAATTTTATAAAAATTTTGAATTTTTTGAATTTTAGGTTTTTTTGGAAACTTTTAGGATTTAATTTTTAATTTTTAATTTTTAAAACTTGTCATTAAATTTTTTGAATTTTTTTTTATAATTTGTTTTCAAAATTTGTCCTTTTTTACCTTTTTAAGAATTTTAAAAATTTTCATATTTTTTGAGGTTTTAGGATTTTTTTTTGAAAAATTTACTATTTCTTGTAAATTAAAAAAAATAAATCTCAAATTTACATATTAAACTTAATTTATATAATAAAAATTTTAAAAAATATAAAATATAAAATATAAAAATCAAAAAGTTTACATATATATATATATACTTATTTAATTATATATTTTATTCAAAAACGAGTGAGTTAGGCTTGAGTTTTAATTTTTTTATCTAAGATTTGATTCGAAATTTAAACATACCAAAAAATTATACTCAAATATGTTTAATTGATTTTAATTTTTTGTCAAAACTCTTTTAAAACTTGGTTGGGCCTTCGAACTTAAGCAAATGACCCCGACCCTTGAACAGATCTATAATAAACAAAAATATTATATTAATATTAGAAAAAAAACAACTACAAGAGTTCTTAAAACAATAGTAATCTTTTAAGGGTAATTTTAGATGTAATGCAAAAAGAATGCAAAAAAATATGAAGTGATATGATTTAAAAATTGAGTAAATATTTGATATATTATCAATATAAAGTTTTAATTTCAAAAGTGATTTTAAGACATTGACACATGTTTTATTTTTAAAAAGTATATGTTACACTTTCTGAATCTAGCTTGTAAAATTTAAAAACTCCACTGTTATTGTATTTAATAATTTTTTTTAAAATTTTGACAAAATTTGTATATGAATTTGATAAAAACAAAAAATATATTTCATGTTTAAGGTATCGAAATGAATTATGACATATTAATTTTTGTATTTTATACAAAATAAACATGATACAAATATATGAATTACAAGTCTATACAAGATATAAGAAAATAAAACATTATAACTCAAAATCTTAAGATATAAAAACATAGAAACTTATACTTTAGATTTTAAAAGAAATTAAAATATAAATGAAGTTCAAACCTTCTATTAATTATAACTTATGTCAATCAGTCGCCCTTTAACTTTTACTAACAATTTATAATTAATGGTGAGAATTATAACAATCAACATCCATTTTTAATAATAAATGAAAGTTGAATTTATCTTCACATTTTCAAATAATAAACATGATACAAATACATTAATTACAAATATAAAACATTGTAACTCAAAATCTTAAGATATGAAAAACAATAGAAACTTAAGGGGACCGGACAAGTCATTTTTGTTCAAAATGTACACCAATGAGGGTGGGGCAAGAACACCCAATTACCAATGTACATCCCCTTTCATTCTCAGAACGATAGACCAGCTTATGTTTTTCTACCACCAAAATTCCTTTTCCTCCTTAGCACAGCCATGCTCTTCTGTTTCTGACTTGAAGCAGAGTATGTTCTTTTGAGAGGTGGGATTCACCGAAAGTTAATTGGGTTGATTTTGCATAGCATGTGGCAATTGGCATGCTCTAAAACTAGGGGTCAAATCCCATTCCTTGAATATGGTGGCTGATTCAACTTCTACAAGATTAATGTTCACTCCAAGGAAATTCAGAAGATTTTGCAAATGATTTTGGTTTTGCTCGCTGGCTCCATCTTGTTGGCACATATTTTCTCTTGGAAGGAAGGGATTCCAGCCATTCGAATTTGAGTGAGTTTTCAATTTGTCATTACAATTTCAGCAACACCTCTAATTTAGACATGAAAACTCCAAAAGCCTTGTGATTCTACAGTTAATGCCTCATATTTGCTCTTTGTATAACTCAATTCTCTTCATAAAAAAATATTGCATCGAAATGTTTGGTTTGAACGTGTGATTATCAAATTGTGGTTTTGCACATGTTACAGATAAAATAAAATTACTCAAAAAAAATAAAAATTGCAGTTATCCATTAATGTGTAAAGAAGAAGAATCACGAGTCACTTGAAATCTTGCCTTCCAGCTTGAGTAGTAGCAGTAAATAGTAGTCTACAGAAAACATCTTAACAAGTTGACGAGGAAATGGAATAAATAATTTTCTTGATCTAACATTTCATGTCGAACCAGTGTCTCCCACATGATGTTTTGAGGCAGAAGATCACTGTAATATAGCAAGGTTGTGACAGAGGCCGCAGGCTCAGCGATTAACGATGCCAATAGCCGCACCAGGGACCGAAACATGAGTGGTGTAAGAGACTGCAACAAAAAGTGAAATTAAAGTAGTGCGACAGTTATATATATCGATTTTAGGAAGATAAAGAATTGGATGAAAGAAGTGACGACCAAAGATATGGAGCATATACCATGGGTTACTCTGGGGGGTTTGGAGACCCAGAAAAATGCTTGAAAGTGGAATCTTGGAAGAGAAAGAGGCAAAGAGGGATTGGGGCCATTGAGTTTGAGTTCTCTTTAACTGTCAATTTTCAGGCTTCAGCGGACATTCAGACCTAACCTTCTATGTACTGGTCTTTATAATAACCAGGAAATTTGGTAGCTGGAGAAAAATGGGGTGATGCACTGCTGGCAAGTGGCAACAATGAAAAAAAAAACGGTCTGGTCTTATTCCACTAAGCTGATGCCACAGCAACAAGTGGTAAAATTCGTTGTTTACTTGTTTTAAAATACATCATTATCTTCAAATTGTTTGTTAGTGCAAGCAACTCCCTTTGCCATTTGGGGATGGTGGGATTTCCTTTACTTTATAAAGACGATGGATGGTTTGCCTAAGTATAAGCTTGGAAGACCTTCTAAAAAGTTGAGATTGCTTATAGCAAGTGCAACGGAGATCAAATATAAAAACCTTAGAATTCGTTGACACAAACTTTTTTAGTACAGAAGGAAGCAGAAGACTAGGGGGATAGGGGAAGGTAAATTGCAAGCATTAGAGATTGAATTACAGCCTTGTAAGAATTCACCCCTAAGAAAAGTGGGTTAACTATTTGGGTTAAGTCTCATGCTTATTCTTAGTTATTATAATGCTTATTCTTAGTTATTATAATGAAGAAATTCTGTTTAAGCTGATGCAAGTGCAACTGTCACGGACCTAAGAAGAAATCATGAATCATACATTGAATATAATAAGAGGACCTAAGAAAGAATCATGAATCATACATTGAATATAATAAGAGGATCACTGAAGTATAAAAAGGTTCACACCATCTCAACCTTGTGAAGCACCTTTTGTAAGACAAAACTGTGAGATCAGAGAACCAGAGCGAACAATACTTCACAATGGTGTGAAACGTTTCGACCCGTGACACAGCAGCCAGCAGCTCAGGAATTGGGAGCATCTACTCTCCACCAAGGGTTTCTTAAAGTTCTTTAGTTGCAGCTCTTCAACTAACCAGTTACAGTACTTGTGGATATGGTACAGCAAACTACCACATAATCCAGAAGCTATTTGGCCAATTATGGATAAATCTAGAGTTCTCATTTTGGATGGTGATGGAAAATTAAAGATCATGCATAGTGAAGGAGAGGTAGTTCTTCTCAATTCCAATCAGGGAAGTTCACATAGCCTGAATGCCACTTTACTAGATACTGGAAATTTTGTATTGAGACAAGTAAACACCGATGGAACCGATGGACAAATAGAGATGCATATGCCTAATAGAAGTGAAACATGGTTAACATTATCAGGCAATCATTCGGCCAGATACAGATGTGTTTCCCATTGTTTTCTTTCCTGAGGAGGTGAATGTAGTCCTGAATTATGTGTTCCAGCCCCCCCCCCCTCCCAAATTTCTAGATAATCATCTGCTTAGCTATTTACATAGTACATGTCTAACATTAAAATCAAATCATGTTGTATTTCTTCAATGTGATTCTTTGTTCAGGAAAGTAGAAACTTCTCCATCCAAGATGCCTTTGACAGATAATAAAGCTGAATACAAAAATGGTTTTTAGTTATGTAACTCCAGATGGAGCCTCATAAGTCTGATAAATACTCTTATCAAGCAAACTCCGTTCTGGGGCTTGGGCTTGATGTAAGATCATCTGTGTTTATTCCTCATGCAAATCTAACAAGACATAATTCTTAAAATCATAAGATGAGGGTTAGTGAATGCTTAATGGCAAAATCATTCCATCATAGATGCATGTGAAACAGCTTTAGAATGAGAATTCAAATCCACCGATTCTTATTTCTTACACTTCCAATATCTCATCAAGATAACCACCAGTAAAAACCCCTTTTCTCTTTTCATTTTCGTGCATGAAGTGCTAGCCCTTACATTGCACTCAAAATCTCAAACTTCAGAATTTGAAATCATTGAATTTCACGTTCTCAATAAATTTCTAGTCATCAAAACATATAAACAAGAAAACAACAGCTAAGAACATTATTCAAAAGAAACTTAGTATATTTCATCTCAGAAAAACTTGTGAATTATGACACTACAAAAACAGGAACTTAGGCCTAACTTTCACCATATTAACCTGAATAAGTCCCAAGAAGACGCTTGCACAATCCCAGATCTTCCCGTATTAGCCTGAATAAATCTCAGTACTCTTATTCAGGATTCTCCTGCTCTTCTTCCTTTTCAGTATCTTCCTCCTTTTCCTCTTTCTCTTCCTCTTCCTCTTCCTCTTCTTCATCTTCACCAGGAGGATCATATGGCATGGGTGGTGGTAATGGTGTTTTCATAGGGCTAAATTGAGGAAAAATGTCCGGTCTACGCCCTGGTCCAGGCCTCTCCCACTCCTGCCATGTAAACGAAGTGGTCATATTTAATCATACTGCCTGAGACAATAAAATTCCAAAGCAGGAATAAAAAAAAAAAAACCCTACCATTTATCAAAGCAACATGTTCTCAAATGATGGAATTATCTAACCAGAACCCATAATCAAACAACACTGTCCCAACAGAGCATTACTGCATAAAATCAAACCCATCTCTTAAAATCCTGTATAACCTTTTCTTCCCAAAGCTGACCACAAAAATCGTATCAGCATTTTGAAATTGCCCCGGCTGCCGAAAACTTGAAATTTCCCTTCCCCATTAGACAGGCAATCAAAAACTACGTATAGCTCAATAAAAAGAAAAGGAACTTACAACGGGGAAATCGAGGGGATTGCGGCGAGTCAATTTCTCTTCCTCGGGAGCCATACAAACCACTTGCTGCCTCTTTCTCCTCGTCCGTTGATGGCCGCTAGAAACGGAGACGACGAGGGAGCATCTGCAACCGCGGCTCGTGGAAGTGGAAGGCAACGCTAGGGTTTTCGAAGGCAGAGATAAGGATAGGCAAATTGATGATAACATGGTTGGTTTTTGGGGGTCACAGTTTCCCCAGTTGGGCAGACGTTTGACAAAAACAAAAAACCAACGAGCTTACCAATAGCAACCGCCCTTTATATGACTCGTCTCAGTTGGTCTCCAAGCGGCCCCAAATCCCCAATTGCAACAATTCTAATTTGTGGTGGCTCGGCCCTGAGTCCTTCAGCATTTATGGGCCTATGATCTAATGGATGGGCCAGTCCACTTGTTAACTTATTATGGGAAGAGAAATTTCTTCATTCTTTCTTCTGCCTATCGGCCCCATCCCATTCCCTCTGAAAGAATGTCCACTTAGTGTTTCACTCACGTTAGGCCGTCACAAGGATTTGGTTCATCGAGCTGTAGCCAGATTATACTTGTAAGCACTGTTGAAATGTTCTATGACGATTTCGGAATCTGACTCCTCTTTTCATGTCATATTTTGATGTATCAAAGAAACAAAAAATCATACAGAAGAACAAGCAATGCGAGAGGTCTGACAATCCTAAAATTTAAAACATAATATGATAATATGATATAAATATAATATAAAAATAAAATATAAAAAATAATATGATTTAAAATAATAATAATTATATATAAATTTATTAAAATAAAAAAATTATCCTTTATATTTTTATATCGACATAAATTATAATATATAATTTTTGTTTAAAATATAAAATAAATATATAAATCTTAATATTTTATAAAATACAAATATTCGAATCTTTAAATTAAAAAAAATAATTTTTTAAATAAATTTAGCAGTGTCTTCTAGTGTTGGTCATGTTCTTGTAGCCCAATAAGTTTTATGAATTTATTATCCATGGAATCAATTGCCCTATCTTTACCCTTCAATTAATAAAATTAAAATCAAATAATTATTTTATATTTTATTTGATTTATATTTAATTAAAAGGGATAAAATTATAAAAAATATTATTATTCTTTTGGTATAAAATAAATTAATCCTTACATAAGTGAAAGTAATTATTTTTAATCTATTTGATTAAATTTAAATGTCTTATTATACTTTTAAAAATTACATTAATAATTTAAATTGTGTAATTTTTTAAAAAAGATAACTTTAATTAACAAATAAATTATCTTGTTTTAATTATTGCATACATTAAATATAAGATAAGATGATATTATTTAATTTAATCATATTTATAATATTATCTTATCGTATTTTATTATAATATTGTATATCAAACATGATTTTTATATTATATTTAATTTATATTTAATTGAAATGGATAAAATTATAAGAATGATTATCATCCTTTTATAATAAAATGATTAAATCATCCTAAAGTAATAAGGATTATTTTTAATTTATGAGTTTAAATTTATATATTTTATTATATTTTAAAAAATTATATCAATAATTTAAATTATATAAAATTTAAAAAAATATAATTTTGATCATTAAATAAATTATCTTATTTTATTCATTATACAAATCAAATATAAGATAAAATAATATTAATGAATATGATTATATTCATTAATATTATTTTATTTTAATTTTATGTACAAAATATAATTTAAAAATCTTAAATTCAAACTCCAATAATAATAAAAAAATGCAATTCAACTATTAATCTCCAAGTTAAAATTTCAAAGTTTCCCTCCTATCCTATTTGTGATATTAATCTCCTAATTCTTTACCTGTTATAGAAAAAAATCCTGCACTTCTTCAATAGGCGGTCAAGTGGTTGTGGTCCAACCAATTTAAAAAGAGCGTCATTCCTAAGTAACTTAAAAAATATTGGGAAATTTTCTAAAAAAAAAAAAGGAAAATGGGCTCCACAAATATATCGAAATCGAAATCAAGAACCTATAAACATAACAATCAAACGTAGACTGAAAAGCTTAGTCAGCATTTAATATCATAGTCTGCCATCCACTGAAGCGTCCCATGTCATTTAACGACGTGAGGAGCAACAACTCTGCCCAAGAAGGCAAACAAGGCCCCCAACTTTGACACTTCACCGACCCAACGCATCAAAGCGGCTTTGCCTTCGGCCGCTCCACTCCAGTCCCTAGCAGCCAAAGAAAAAATGGCCATCCCAGGCGTGAGTACTTGCACGCGCTGTTTCTCAAGTGTGGTTCATCACTTCTTACTTTCACAAAACCTTTAGCTAAATGTAAGTCAAAAACTCAAACAAAAAAGAGCCAAAAGAAAACACACCGTCCTGTTTGCCTTCTCCGTTCAAATACACTACACGCGTGGACCCCGCCCACTCCTCCTCTTTAGTCCTTTCTCCCTCGTGTCGTACACGCGCCGCTCCTCCTCGAGAGTCGCCCCCCGCATTTTTCAAATATTGTAATTAGTACTCGTAGTTTGAAAATTTAAAGCGAAAAGAAAAAAAAAGAAAAGAAAAGAAAGCTTCAAAACAATATCATACCAACCACACTTGTATTTACTTCTTGGCTTTCTCTTTCTTTCTTCATATTCTTTATTTCTTTTCTCTTTTTCGTTGGTTTTGATAGTAAAATTTTGGCCGAAGAAGCTCTGGACAAATTCTTGTACTGCCGGCGAGTGAGAATGAGCGTGCTAGGGAGACAGATGGCGAGATCTAATTCGACGGCGCATCATCAACGGCAATACTCCGCTAACTTCCTCGACGCCTCGTTTAACAGCAAATGGCTTCAGTCCTCCAATTTCACTTCTTCTCAGGTCTTCGATCGTTTCCCCTCCCCTTTCTGTTGCTTCGCATTTACAATTAGCATTTCGTGTAACGACGTCGCTTTTTTTTTTTTTTTGGCTGTTTGGATAGGAGTTCGGGTTCTATGGCGGGGAAAGAATGAGCAGTAAGTCGCCGGAGCGGGCGACACCGCCGTTTTGTTCTAGGTCTTCGAGCATGAGGAAGAACAGTGATGAATACATGTCGCCCAGTGAGCTCAGCCCCGGCTTACTGGATCTGCATTCATTTGATACTGAGCTGCTTCCTGAGGTTTTGCTCTATTTCTTCAATTAGATTATAGCTTTCCGGTTTTGTTCTCACGCTTGAATGCTTAGATTTACTTAGCCCTGTTTTAATAAAATATATTAAATTCTAATTAATAATAAAATTTGTACTATGTGATGTTTGATTTGATCTGCTGTTGATCAAGTGATATAATTGATAATCATGTAGTTGCACTGTATTTTTCATAGCTTTTTTGGACCTGGCTAACCATTAAAATTTGATTTATATAAACAATTGGTGGCATTTAAAAATTCGTTGTTGTTTGAAAATTGCTTCTCTGTTGTGGATAATAGACTTATTAGTTCCTTTTTCTAGTTGCAGGCTCCTAACCTATATGAAGGACTCGGGCTTCAGGGACCTGTTCGTGGTAAAAGTTTTGACGATTCTGAACCATATCTATCCACCAACAAACTTTCAAACAGGCCACGTGGAATGGCTGAGAATAACCTTACTAAAAGCATCTCAGTAGATAAAGAAAGAGCTAACACTGTTGCCAAGATTAAAGTCGTGGTATGCTACTTGAATGCTTTTTTTGTTTTATTTATTGCGTAGCAAATATTGATTTCAATGTTTGTAACAATTGCTGTATCAAATCGATCAATCAATTGTGTCAAGAAATACGATGAGCTGTGGATTTTGAAAACCTGAATGCTCAGCTGAGTGATGATCTGAATTCTATAGACAATTGAATGTGACATACCAAGAAAGAATGGGAGCAAATATAGATTATGAAAATCTTAACCTACAACTAATACCAAGAAAGAATTGGAGCAAATATAGACTGTTGAAATTGGAAAAGAAAGCTCTACCTTGTTAGATTTTCTTTTGTCATTGTTAAAATAGCTAATAATAACTTTCAATGCAGGTGCGCAAGAGACCAATGAACAAAAAGGAAATGGCAAAGAAAGAAGAAGATATTATTACCATACAGTCAAATTCCAATGCCCTAACTGTTCATGAAAAAAAACTAAAGGTGAGCAGCTGGTAGGGCTTCTCTTTTTTCCTATAGTTGTGTTATGATGTTTATATTTGGATTTATTTTTTGGTTTACTTGCTAACTTGAGCTCCTAGCCCATCAGTCATGTGATGCTAAAGCATTTTCAAGAGATTACTTGTTTAAAGTTGGAATCAAAGAAAGTAAATTGCTCTTTACCTTGATTTTCATGGAAAATCCAAATTGACTTATTATTTGAAAGTCTCACTAACTCATGATAATCTCCACCAGCTGTAACACTATACATCTTCCATGGTTAATAATATGACCTAGAAGCAGTTTTTTCTATGAGATCTAATCATTGATTATCTGCAGGTTGACCTGACAGAATATGTTGAGAAACACGAATTTGTTTTTGATGCTGTGCTGAATGAGGATGTTAGCAATGAGGAAGTGAGTATATGACCAGAAGTTGATAACTTTTAATGTGTCGTTCAGCTAATTTCACAGTTTCATTTTCTATTGCTGTAGGTATACTCTGAGACAGTGGAGCCGATTGTCCCACTAATTTTCAATCGAACAAAAGCTACTTGTTTTGCATACGGGCAAACAGGTAAATAGTTATCCTGAATTTGAAAGTTATGTTATGCTACAAGACAATTTCTTCTAAAAGTTCCCTAGTATGAAATCTTTTGTCATTGTATTATAAATGGCAAACTAAAGCTTTGTACATTCTGTTTTAAGTGATAGAAATCCATGCATCTTTAACCTTTTTGGAAAAGTCCATTTGCTAATTAGTTCAGACTTACACCTCTTAAATGTGTTTTTGTGGATTCAAATGACATTTTATATAAATTATTTTGGCTTGGCATTTCATATCTGTTGCTTTAGCTATTTATTTTGCTATTTTAAGCTATATGCATTTTGCACTAAGCAATTGGAAAATTTGTGGTTTTTTAATGTTTTCATGGTTCCACTTTACATGTCTTATTCTTCTTCAGTTTACATTCTTGCAAATGAACTTTAGTTGAACTTTTTTTTTTTTTTTTTTTTGTGCAGGAAGTGGAAAGACATATACTATGCAGCCACTGCCTCTAAAAGCATCTCAAGATATATTAAGATTAATGTACCATTCATATCGGAACCAAGGTTTCCAACTATTTGTCAGTTTCTTTGAGATATATGGGGGGAAAGTCTTTGATCTCCTTAATGATCGGAAGTAAGTTATTTCCATTTATATGCCATAGGAAACCTAGATAAATTGTCCTATAGTTTATAATTCTGATTAGAAATCTACTTTTTGCAGAAAGCTTTGCATGAGAGAAGATGGTAAACAGCAAGTATGTATTGTGGGTCTGCAAGAGTACAAGGTATCAGATGTTGAGACGATCAAGGAGTTAATTGAAAGAGGAAATGCGACAAGAAGCACTGGCACTACTGGAGCAAATGAGGAATCCTCAAGGTCACATGCAATTCTTCAGCTTGCCATCAAGAGATCCGCTGATGGCAGTGAAACAAAGCCTGCTAGACTTGTAGGGAAGCTTTCTTTTATAGACCTTGCTGGAAGTGAGCGTGGTGCGGATACAACTGACAATGACAAACAGACGAGGTAATAAGTTTAACATCCATACAGTCTGGGATTATACTTCTTCAAAGCAATGGTACCATGAATTGCATAGGCATATTTATGGAGCCATAGAAGTGCTCCATGGAGTTACTAGGCGAGAAATTACACCAACTAGATAAGCAAATCTTGTTCTCTTTGCATATAATTTGGGATGCTCTGACCACCATTATATAGAATGTGCTGTTCAAATCATGACAAGCTGATTTCATATTTCTGCAGAATGGAAGGTGCCGAAATTAATAAAAGTTTACTTGCTTTAAAAGAATGCATCAGAGCTCTTGACAATGACCAGGGTCACATTCCTTTCAGAGGAAGTAAGCTGACTGAAGTTCTTAGAGATTCATTTGTTGGTGACTCGCGTACTGTTATGATATCATGTATTTCACCAAGCTCAGGATCATGTGAACATACCCTGAATACACTTAGATATGCTGATAGGTGTGTAGTTCTGTAACTAAAATTGAATTGTAGAAGTGACTTGTGCATTTGTTTGAATAGTGCTGTGGATACCTTCATTCCAGGGTGAAGAGCCTATCAAAAGGGAACAACTCCAAGAAGGATATGCTATCTTCATCTTCAAATCTTAGGGAGTCAACTGCATTGCCCTTGGCTTCATCTTTACCAACTGATACCCTTGAGGACAATATAACTGATGTTCCTCTTGAAAAGAACAAATTTGGGTGGTCCAACCTGATTGAAAAAGATGCATCTCCTCCTTTTAAAGTGGATCGTGTTCCTAGTGGAAGGGGAGAAGGAAATTTGGCCGTACCATATTCAGATTATTACAAGGGTCAGAGAGGTGGTCTCGATGGCATGGCCGAGGATGATTTTGATTACCCTGAGGGGACATATGAACAACAAAAGATGTTGGGGAAAATTAATAGGAAGGCACGGGCCTACCAAATTCCATTTTTGGAGAAGCAGAAGACTGATGCTTTGACAAAGCGTGTGGATCCTTCAAGCATTGATGATAAAAATTCTCATTCAGATGATGATCTGAATGTCCTGTTGAAGGTACCATAATCAATCCGGACAACTGAATTTTCTTACCTAATATTATTTAATTGTGAAATGAAATTTATCTTGGTTGTTACTAGGAAGAGGAAGACCTTGTATCTGCTCATCGAAGGCAAGTGGAGGACATGATAGAGATTGTTAGGGAGGTAGATGACATTCTGGCTGTAGCTTATTTTTGTTGTCTTCCATGATTTCCTTTGTTCTGATTGTTATCATGCCTGCAGGAAATGAATCTGCTAGTTGAAGCTGACCAACCAGGCAACCAGCTGGATAATTATATCTCTAAATTAGATACCATTCTTTCACAGAAGGCTGCAGGAATTCTACAACTGCAGACCCGCTTGGCTCAATTCCAAAAACATTTAAACGAATACAACGTTTTAGTATCTTCTGGCAATTAATTTATCCTGCAGAAAAGATATGGTGCGGATTTGGACCGGCATTTGATTTGATAATTTCTTCCTGGATGGTTGGTGAGGCAGTTGATGACCCGCCAACTGTCATATGGTTACAGAATGAGAGTACCTATTAGAGTGGGTGGTGAGAGTGGAATCTTGTTTCTTCCTACATTTTTGATGCTTCAGGTAACTATTGTGACTTTTGAGTTATACACGACACTCCATATGTTATAAATATGCATGCTCCTCGGCTTTAGAAAATGTAAAATTTCTGCAGCATTGTGATGTTATTGTTGATAATAAAAACGCCTTGCCATTAACTCAATGTGGGTTGGCTATATATATATATATATATATCGGGAAGTATTCTTTTTTCCTGGTTCAAAAGGGTTAATGTCTTGTCTAACATTTGACGTATTCTCTGTTCGAAGGGATGAGTTGATGCTTATCTAATTTGTTTATAATATACATTATGTGCCCATATTTCCGATTAGGGTAAGGGAGGGAGTTTATTCATGGCCCCATTAAATCCCAATTTTGGTTTGCTTGCTTGAAGAAGACAAGGAAGATCAAGTTTAACATCTTGCTGAATAAATCCATATGATGTTTGGATGTGCAGAATTCAGCTTCGAAACATCTCATTAAGCCGATCATTATCAATGGTAAGATATGAAAAGCAACGGTAAATTACTTTGACTCGACAAGTCGAAGATAATTTTTTTGAGATAAAAGAGTAAAAATAAAGGGACAGGAATAAGGCCAAAGACAAAGCATAGATCTGCGACAAAAGTATCGCATAAGTCTGTCACATTTGTCCTTCAACTTCAAAGGCAAAGTCTCAAAGTCAAATAAAAACAACAAAATTAAAAAAAAAAAAAAAAAAAGGTCTCCTAGTTTTCTCATACTATGTTTACAGCTAGAGATGAAACCAACAAAATCATAGAAGAAAAGCCAAAATAATAAATCAAATTGAGAAGAGGGATCGGATTTTATATTATAACGTTATCAAAATTTTTTGAGCGAATTGCTTTTGTTTTCCACTTAAAAAAGATAAATTTGGTATTCCTTTCTTAATTATTGCCTAAAAGAAACAAATATTTGTCTTATTAATCTTTAAATTAATTGACATGTTATTAAAATTAACGTTTCAAAGTTACGAATTCAAAATTTTTTTTACATATAATATCTATTTCAATTAGGTAAATATTAAGATAATAAATTAAAAAACTAAAAAAAAGAAATAAATCCTTATTAGTAAACACCACATTTCATATCAAGCTTTATTTCACGATGAAAAAATCTAAAAAAATATCTTTACTTAGTAATAGTTACCTTTTTTTTTTATACAAAATAGATTGTCGTTTGAAAATAAAAGAAGAATTTATAAAATACTAAAATTTAAATCTCATATTAATTAAATATTATTTTTTAAAAATAATTATATGAATTAATTGAGTTAAATTTTGGATTCTAATAAGTTGCTCTTTTTGTTTGCAAGTGAAGGAATAATATATCTTTCATTTCACGGGGATGCAAAAACAGGCATGCTAGGGATATATTTTCCCCCCTAAGTATAAATCTTTTAACATTTCCATTCTTTTTCTACGACTATTCTTTTATTATATTTCTCTTTTTCTCCAACAAATATCCTTTTATTAATATTTTTATTCATAATAATACTTTATAAACCTATTTTGGGATTTTCATATTTTTAAATTTTGCAAGTGAATTTATATAATTGACATGTGTTTTCAATTATTTTGACTTATTAAATTTTTAATAAGCTAATAAACATGTTACCATTAATAATTTTTCTAAAGATTTTAGAGTCCTAGTTCAACCTCACAAGTAAATAGCCTTCAAAATTTCATCCAATATATATATATACTGGATAAAATTGGATGAAAAGTTAAAACAAGGAAATCTTTTTATCTTTAACCACCCCGGTCCTAGGCCTCAATTCCCAAATTTTCCTATTATGGGTCAAAATGAAGCCCACTTATATCTGTTTCAAAATCCGTCCAGTATGGGCTCTTTTGATGCAAAAATAGTTATTTCCATCAAAGTCTCAACTTTCCAATCTATCCGTTGAAGAAAATATGGACGGGCTCTTGGGGCCTAAATTTCTCCATTTCGATCTATCAATGTCCAAACTGAATCGGCATTTGTGATTATCAATTGCTATGTAATTAAAGTTGATATTTAAAAATTATAAATTTGAAAAAATTTAGAGACGTAATTTTTTTTCAACTAATAGAATAAAAAATTTTAAAGATAAATTAAGAATTTAAAAAAAAAAAAAAGAACGACCGACACTTTGCAGGCAGCAAACTCTTGGCGTCATGGACTTGTTTAAGTTTATCATTCGATATCTAGTCGAAGTTGGGCTTGCCAAATTGCAATTGGAAGGCTCAAAACTCAGCTACATACTATGTGACAATTCACAATCGTTCTGTCAATTCATGTAGGCTCAACTCATAATCAATACCTAATCAAATATATAGAAATAAATTTTCATGTTCTATGAACAATGGCCATCTATCAATGATCAGCTACCATTTAGGGCCACAACAAATTTATTCATTTTGATATTGAGATACTCCTTTTCTGATCCACCCCAACACCCAAAAAAAAAAAAAAAAAAGAGAGAGACAGAGACAGAGAGCCTACTGTCTACTCCTCAAAGTTCCCTGACCAGTTACCACCCACAACCACAAAGGGATGAAACTGATCAAATTGAATATGTAATCAATGTACAATCAATAAGCATATTAGATTTCAAATATTGTCTCACAATCTTGCGTCAAATGGCATCAATCAAGAAAATTGAGAAAAGTAAACACGGATATGCAGAGAAACTCAAAGAATTAATGGATTGGAGACAAATATGAACAAAGAGAGAGAAAAAAAAAGTTGTAACAGAAGTAATTATGACAACTTCAATTCTTGACCTGTCCCAAATTCTCTGAAGAGAGAGACAAAATGAAAAAAGGGTATTGATCAGGCTCTCACTGATCGAAATTTTGGCCTCGAATTGACACTTCTAGGAGAAGCTGGCGGACCAAAAAATTCTGTGTACACGTCCATGAAAAACTTGTCGACGATGTCAAGATAGGCAGGGCAAGTCAGGCGAGAATAGTAATGAAGAACCTCTTCAATGTCAAGAACATGATCCACATTGCTCATATCCATCATCTCTAGCTCCTTCAGCTTTTGTGCCACTGACAAACTCCTTGCTTCTCTCTTACTCTTTGAATATGAATAATCTTCTTGCCTTTTCTCCACCTGGCCAGTCCTCGTTTTAGACTGACCATAACTTAATTTTCTTTGCTTTGATAACTGCGTGAAACTTCCCTTGTTTCCTTCTTTCTGTTCTCCTGTTGGATAAGTTGACATCATCTTCTTCTTGTTTCTCTTCTTTGCCTTGCCATTGTCCGAGTCCCACCGGCCAGAGAAGTCAGTATACAACTTTTCACGTTCTTGGTGATTACTTGTCCGGGGATTCATGTCAACGCCGGCAGTATTACTGAATGAAAATGGATTGTGAGGAGAGGTTTTGGGTAGCTTTTGGTAAGGTTCACAACCAGCGAAGAAAGACTTGAAACTTTGTATGGTTTTTTGAAAGAACTTTTTGGTGTTGGAAATGGAATTTCGAAGCCGCATTGGTACCTACTGTTTGGCTTCTTTTCTTTAGTGATTGGGATGAATTGATCAGTGAAGTTTTCTTTTTTTCTTTATACAAAAAAGAGAGGAGAAGAAGCCATTTCTAAGTTGTTAAAAGCTTCTTTTTTCTTTGTCTTCACACGCTCCTTTCTTGTTTTTGTGTTTTGTTCTTTGGTCACCGAAGAGTCCCCACTAGGCGTAGCTGATTATTCAAACATATCAAAGTTTTTATGGAAGCTTTTGGTGACACTTTCTTCTTCTTCTTCTTCTTCATTATTATTATAAGATAGTTTCGTCACTTTCACTTTTGATGGTGGAGTTGGTGTGTAGCCTCTTTAGGAGGAAGAAAGGAGCGGTCCTTCCTGGTTGTTGAATTGGACCTCTCGTCTTTGCTATTTCTTTTGGTCCTAGTTGTAGTTTCTCCACATACAAAATGGGAAAAATATTGTAGGACACAATTATTTTATGTTAACAATAAGTAGTTAACTTAATTTGTAAAGAATCATTTTTTTTTTAAATGTAAGATTTTAAGTTTAAATTTAATTGATAATCGTATATTAAAATTATATCGAATATATAAATTTTAATAATTTATTTTAAATTGTAAGATATAATATAGTTTATTTTAATATAAAAAATTAAATAATTTATTTATCTCGTATTTTTTTTATGAAAAAAATTATTTCAGGCTTGTATATGTGAAGCTCCTCGATAATAAAATCGGCAATGGAATAGATTTATAAATAATTACATAACATTGACCTAAATTAATAAAATATGTAAACATGATCAGAAGAATTGCGACGGACATAATGAGTGCGTAATAAAAGAGTTTGAAGAAACCTGTTTTCCAATCAAAAATTGGTCTGCAACTTCTGATTTGATTAAGTGATGTTAAAATCATTTAGACTTCTAGAGGAGGATGCGCTATAATTGTAGAGAAACATATAGACCTTGAAAGGAAAACATAGTTTAGACCAGGTCTCATCATCAATATCATCCCGTGAATCACGGAGCCAGCTGGACTTCCACTATTTTTACCATTTAAACTCTATTCCCTGCATAAATTACAGCAAAGCTTTTTTGTCTATTTATTCACAACCTTTTCAATTTTACGTCTCAGGGAGATGGCCTTTTCCCTTTTTGCTGCACAAATAACTGTAAAAAGAACACATCAATATATATATATTTCAGTAAAAAATAAAAATTTGAAAGTAAACAAATTATTTAATTTTTTAAATTAAAATAAAATATATTATATTTAATAATTTAAAATAAATAATTATAAATTAAAATAAAATATATCGTAATTAATAATTTAAGATAATAAATCATATATTTAAAATAATTTTAATAAATAATCATCCATATAATTTGAATTCAAATTTTTTTTAATAAAAAAATAAATTTTAATTAATTAAATCAACTATTGATTATTAGACTATTAGACTATTAGTACCGGTTGCCTCAAAATTCTTCAATTTGAAGTTTTAAATTATAGGATAGGAGTAATAGAAAAATTGTCTTTCCTTTTCCATACAAATTGGTAAGAATTTAAAATAAAACTTAATTAGTTTATATAATTATTATTAAAAATAATATTTAATATTTTTAAAATTTAAAATTTATAATTCTTTATAAAAAATTTAAGATAAATATTTATTACCTAATCTGTATTAAAAGCTGACAACACGTGCAAAAGGAAAGAAATAGCTGACAAATTTGACTCAACAATATTGGATTCTTTTGAATTAATGATTTATCCATGTTCAAACTTGAACATTCAACCCTGCTTTGTTAAGGGGGACGATGTGAAATTTTAAAAGTTCCCGGTGGGAAGTGGGAATTTGCAGATACATTTGTCAAGCACGATAGAGCTTGTTGTATACATGGTATAATTACAGCCATGGATGAGACAAAAAAAACAAAGGTACCGAACCTATACTTTGAACCCAGAAAAAAAAAAGATGAAAAAGAGATAGGATATAGATACCTACCCTACTAGATGAATGGTGCAGGAAAGCATATCACTCAACTAATAATCATGAGGGTCTTCTTCAAAATAAATAAATATATAATAATAATAATCATAAGGGACTCAAGTACTGAATTGATTTTTAACCTACCAAACAGATATGAACTATATGGTCGACACTTTGACTATTCTACCTTTTCAATCCTTATATATAAAGTACGGTATACGTATCTTTCAAAAATTAAAATTACTTTTGACATAACAAATTTTAGAAAGAGTCCTGAGTATGTTTTGCATGCAAGTCAACAACCCAATGAATAACTCTGATAAATCCTAATTAATCATACACTAGCTCAAAGAAATTGAGAACTCAAGCATTATATATATATATATATATATATAAATAAAACTGTTGACTACATGATTCACTTTTTTATTAGCTCTTCTTGAGCTCCTTAACTTAGAGATTTTGTTCATATCGTAAATAAGCTAAATTTAATGATTTTTTTTGTATAAATACTCGTAACATTATCTTTTGATCCACGCTTAATTCTCAAATTTCATTACATTGATACGATATGATTAAATTTATTGTATTGTTAATTAAATTTAAATATAAATTTTAATAATATCAAATCAATATAAATTTTTTATTAAAAATTTTTTTAATCGTAATTACAATAATTTTTTTAATCATAATTATAATAATAATAATAATTATTTTTAAATTTACCGTTTATCGAAATAAAACTTTAAAAAAAATATTTTTTAAATACTTTCTATATTTTAGTTTGCTATCAGAGCACCGGCTTTGTTGAAATCTTTTTCATTTTTATCTTTTGTTTCGTTGAAATTCTCTGGGAGCCGCTCCAGATTCGGCATACACTTTTTATTTTTCAACTAAAATAACAAATTAAGGCAGCCAAATGACGGTAATCATTCCTGCAAAGGATCAAAATTAAAACGAAATTAAGATTTAAACAAACAAAACTCTTTTTTTTTTTTTAGAGATTGTAAAATTTGTAACTTTCTATTAATTGAAAGATTAGAGAGTTCAAACCTTTTCCATACATGTATAGATGTATTGTACAACTTGACTGAGATTTTGGAGGGAGACTATAAAAATCCTTAGTAGTTATAATAAATTTGATTTGATTTTTTAAAATAATATATAATATTATAAATTTTAAAAATTTGAATACGAATCAATCTTACTTTAAAATCAACTTATATGCAAACTGAATTCTATGGTTTAGGTTTATCAATTTTTAAATTTTTAAAATTTATTTTTATATGTTATTTTAATATGCTTCTTAATGTATTTAAAAACATTTAAATATAAAATAACTAATTTTATTTTATGAAAATTTTTAAAACATATAAAAATTAATAAAAATATATAATTTAATTTAATTAAAAAAATTTTTATTCTAAATTAATATATATTTAATATATAAACTAATCTAAATCGAATAAAAAAGTAATCAAAATCAAATCGAAAACTAAAATTTTAAATTTTTTTTTTTTTTTTTTTGGATTTTTTTTTCACCTGTACTGCCTAGCCAGCTAATTAACCAGGCCCAAGCTTAAAAAGCTTTGGATTAGGCTCATTCAAGATAAGGCTGTCAGGCCAATTCCATATAACAAATGATACAAACTTGAAAGAGTTGGTAGCAGAATCCTGAAAGTCACAATCGATTTTGCAGAAAAGAGAATGAGGGTGATGGAGACTGGGGAACGAACCACTTATTTTCAGTGGGGAAGCAGATGGAGACAGTTGAGTTGTAATACAGATGGTTGAGCACTTGTAATTGGCCACGTTGTCTTTAGGGTTGGAACCAGTCACTTTCACAGTGGAATGAACTGTGAGACCTCGCCTGCCCCCTCCCTCTGTCAAAGGCTTCTTTCATTTCAAGATTTTGGACTCTTTCTTGCTTCTTCACTAAAACTCCCCTTCTGTCTTAACTTATCTTCTAAAGTTTAAGACTTCCAAAAACATAATTAACATTAGCTTCTGCCCTTCTGTCCCAAACTTTAAACAATAATAGAGAATTGTATTACTTTATAATCCAAATTTTAATTTAATTAATTTATTTAATTACTTTTAAGATATAATATTTAATAGATTTAAAAATCTCAATATTTGTAATTACTTTTCCTTATCTCCTCTTACTTATATATGATTTATAATTAGTTGTAATTAGATATTTGCCTAAAGAAGATCTTAATACTAATTAATTCGTTTCTCAAATTTATCTAACTATTTACATTAAGTTCATCTATAAAATTTTTCAAGAAGACAGACATAGAAGACTAATTGAACGAAGGAGTTTGTAAGACAATGCTTTCAACAATTGGCTCTTATTACTATGTATCAGTACTTTTCATTTAGTATGAAATTTATTTACCCCGTTTGCTGCTGTGGTAATTCATTTTCTCCACCTTCTCTGTTTTCAATGAGGAGAAATTCAATAATTAAATTCATTCAAAATGAACGTCTCAACATTTAAACATTCAAAAAACTTCAATATGCTTTTGCCTGATTTTGGAGTTTTCCATCCGTATACAATGTCAAACAGAAAGGACCCAAAGAGACTAAAGAAACACAGCCGAAAACGGAGGATGGGCTTAGCTAAGGTTAAAGGACTACACTAATCTGTCCCTGGGTCCCAACCATCATCAAAAGCCTGCGCTAAAGCTTTTAGCTGAAGCATTGACAGCTACGGGCTTAAAAACCATGCCAGCCCAGGTCATATGCTGCTGAAGTGATGATCAAATTCATTTAAAAAAACAATCTGAGTTGATCACATGTTGCAAATGAGAGAGAAAGAGAGGGGTTGGTTTGGGTGTGGTCGTTTGGGTTGGGGGGGGCTCAAGAACCCAGAAAATGCGACCATTAATGAGAATGATAGGTTGTTAATCCAATGAAGAGAGGCAAGCAACTATCCCGACATATTTATATACTCACTGCCAAAATCCAGCATTCTTTAATTTGTATTCCAATTAGGGAAATGCCTTTGACAATCTGTGGTGCAAAACAGGGAATGTCCTTGATCATTGTTTTTACAAGAATCCAGGTTCTCATAAATGCATGATATATAGGAGAAAGAGACGAGAAAGCAACACAACTAACCCCTTCTTTCCACCACTTCTCTCTTCCCTTCTCGTATGCAATGTTCCATAGCTTTCAAGCCAAAGGTATAGGGTAAAAAAACAAAACAAGGCATACATCCAATAGTCCCCCACATATGGAAAGCAGATCATGTCTGCAGGGCTCACATTCTCTCTAATTTACCTTTACTAAAGCCTCAACAGGTTTTTCCTTTCGCACTAGCCTTTCTGTCTGTCTTTCTCTCTTTCTCATTCCATTGTCTCTTTTTTAATCTTTAAGCCCATGCACATCCTATGAAACCGACGTTTCCTTGTTCATGGAAAAAACTTGTCAAGCACAAATTCCCTGTAACAATTTCTAGCTTATTTCTCTTTCCTTTTTGTCGTCGAAAGATTCTAATAAATCAGTTACTCTAACCCTTAAATTAAATCGCAATGTATGATTTTTTTTTCATTTTGATTCAAATCTCAATATTTATAATGTTTTATTATCGTATTGCGATTTTATTTGTAAAATAAAATTGTCCCAGGTTTTACATAGGGAAAATTTTTCTTTAGGTTTTAAAAAAGGTTTTGGAAGGACATGCATTTATCATACTATGAGAACAAAATATTTGTTTCATGTTAGGGTGGTGGGATATGTTGGCTTTTTTCTTGTCTCTTCATTACATAATGGGACCAAAAAATGAATTGCATAAAATAAATTTAATTAAGTAATTAGTTAAGAACACAACAAATATAGAGATTCACAATACAATTTAGTGGCCAATATTTTGTCTTTTTTTGCAAACCAATAATTTTTAAATCGTCAATTTGAATATTTTTGTCTCTTGGCATCATGCCAACAATAATTTTAGATCATTTAAATTCCAGAATGCCACCGTTTGGCTAAAAGATGTGATGAACTGATGGTCAATGCTTTAATTCATGTCTAAGATTGTTCATAAAAATAGGTTTAATTAATTTTTTGGAAGCAAAAAATATAATATTTGATTTTTAATTAATATGATCCAAAAGCGCAAGATGATATTAATTTACTTTGTTATATAAAGATGTTATATTTTATTCACCTAATAATTATGGCAAACCCAATAATGTGGTGTTTAAAACTCAATGGACTTGTCACTGCAATTTCTTTATTTGACGGAAAAAGTTAGACGAGGAAATGAAAGATTTGAACCAATCGATTTATTAATTTTTGTATATGTCATAAATATTTTACCTTAAATAAGGCAGGCAAATAATCTTTTAACCTATTATTTTGTGGATAATTAAATCTTGTTCCAAAAACCAAAAATGTTATAGATGAGAAATTGAGCATCAAAAACCAAAAAAAAAAAAAAAAAGATTTTCTTTTTTCTTCTAATCCTTTGGTGCAATTTGCAATTTGCGTGGAAAGAAGTTTTTTTCAAAAGTCCAACAGAGAAGACTGAGATTTATAACTTTTTGAGGTCCCATTCTATCATATCTGCTTTCAAATCAAACGATTAGTACAGCATATTCCATCTCATTTTCCTTCAATCTTCTTCAAGATTTTTTTTTAGAAGTTGAATCCTGGAAAGCTTAAGCTTCATTGCTCAAAAAGTTGAGCAATCCAAAATCCTATCTTTTTCTTTTCATTTCTTTTCAAAAGAACATAAGAAACAGCATGCCGCAAGATTTTTCTCTCATTTTTCCCTTGCTCTTCCTTTTCCTCTCTTCTCCTCTCAGGCCTATCTTTGCTGTAACAGTTCTCCCCTGCAGAAATATGTCAATGGAAAGGCAAACAAACACTAGAACAAACAAAAGCCAATCCTGCTTAAATTCCACTCTAGGGTTTACATCGAAACAATCAGATTCACTGGTCAAATTAAAAAAAAAAAAAGTCATATAATAGTGATCAGTGCTGGTGTAAGGTCATCAGCTACAGCTACTAGCACAAGAGACAAACACAAAATGTTTGGATAATATGGAAAGCTTATCCCATTAACAACGTTAATTCAGATTTAGAACTTTAAAATCTAATTAAACTACCTTTCTTAAGAACATGCAGTGAAATAAACAGAGAGAACAAGTAAAAGTTCAACAGTTTTCTTCTTCTTCTTCTGCTTCTACATTTCATGACCAGTTCGAGAACAAGGTCTCAAAAATCTCTGTAAAAACCTCTATAATTATCCTATGATGGTGATGAGAGTTCAGTGACAGGAAACACTGCAACAGTTGCTTGAGATCCTTAGCTGCAAATATATGTCTCTCAACAATCATCTCCACCATTGATGTCCTGAAATCATTGTGGGGATCACTAGAACTTTTCACTACAGCAAAGCAGTCTTTCACTTTATTGGTTCCTTCGATAGGTAAAACCCCCATGTCACGGCTCCTGTTTTTAACTCTTCTTCGACGATTGGTGCACCTTTTCCGGTAATTAGAATGTTGCCGGAAAGACTCGGGTGAATCCGACGAGAGAGTCCTTGAAGAGAAAAGAGTCTCTGTTTCATCTTCACTGCTAAACCACCACCAACCATAAGTCTTATTAGTAGCACTTTCTTGAGAAGATGAGCTGAAAAAAGTGGTAGTAGAAGACATATTCTTGCTTTTAACATGAACCCTTTTGTTATTCTTCTTTTTCTTCTTCTCGTGTTTAGCCAAGCTCTTCTTTTTCTCATAGAAACCAAAGTCTTTACAGTCGGAGAAGAGGTTCAAAGGCGATATAGGGGAAGCAGGAGGGCACTTGCGGCCATCAAAAGCAGCCGCCGAGACAAGGAAAGGAGGGTAACGAGCAGTCACTTTACGCCTTGGCAGAGTCTCTCTAGGTGTAATCGTGATACAATCATGATTGATGGCGCCTTGGGTCGATTCAGGGCATCTGGGTTTACAAATGGAAGGGAAGGATCGAGGCTTAGACGGCGACAATGGCTCGACCAAGTGGAATTTGCTGTGGTTCTGTGGTGAGAAAACAGCTTTTTCAATAACGTCCGAGACGTTCCGGGTTCGGCAGGATCCAAACGAGGATCGAAACATGCGAGAGATTCTTATCTTGAATCGATTTTCCATTTCGGAGAGAAAGCGAAAATGTGGGTTATTTCTTGAAGGGAGAGTGGCTTTATCTGAACGAAGAAACAAAACTTATATAAACAATAAGAAACCGAAAGTGGAAGTGATTTTTATAATGATAATTCAATGAAAACTTTCTGCTGTTTTTTTCGTCCATTTCTTTGTCCTTAATTGTGGAAATTTTGTTTTGTTATTAATGAGTGATATATAAAAACATGTTCAAAGTCTGACGGATCAACTTTTCTTATGTGCTTTAATTTTTAAATTTGAAAGTAGAAATTGTTCCAACTAAAAGTCTAATTACTGATTTTGAAATTTAATTACAGTTGATAAGGCTGATTGAAAATGGATAATTTTTTAGGTTGAAAAAAGGTGCATGAAATCAATTGAGCAGGTCAATCCTGGTTTGGAAAATGAATTCCAGGTATGATATGGTTAAAGTAAATGCCGTGCCTACCATATTTTTGTCTTATATTTGGTTTATATTTGAAATTCAAATTGCTTTTTCGAAACATATTTTCTTATATCAATTTGATAGGTTCAGAAATTTAATCAAAATTGATAAAGAAATTGAACTCTTTTATTTACTGAAAATATTTAATCCTTGAGAATTGAAATTCAAACTGTGATATCACATGAAAGTAAATTAAAGTGAAAAATTTTGATCCCCGTGAGCACATAATGACACAGGAAAGTTCCTTGTCAATGAGGTAACCGAGTAATTGACAATTATTGAAGAATTTAGTAACAAGCATGTTCATGATTGGGTACTTGAGTGAACTACTATGTTTTTTATATATTTGTGGCAACGAAGATATATGTGTGCAAACGACTGTTAAAATCGCTAGATTCAGGATGCTGTCCCTACATCTGAGTTTATTATTAGTAGCCTTTTAAGTGTGCGTGGTACCACTTAAATAAATTATAATATAATTGTGGGCAAAGCCTTTTTGGGTAGGGCGGAATTTGAAATGTGCCACAAATGATTTTCAAAAGCCTGTCTATAAGCAAATAATAATTGCTACTAAGTATTCATATTCACACTCCTTTAAATTCCGAAATCAAATAGGTTTTTTTTTCAAAAAAAAAAAAAACAATTTTCAATTCGAAGCCAAGCTAGATATGATAAATCAAGGCAAACATCGTGATTTGATCTAATTTTATAAAAATTTTTATCCTTTAAGTTAAGATTGAAGTTTGAATTTAAGATTTTTAATTTAAAAATAAATTTTAATACGATTCATTGTTGATTTTATAGGTTTTTTTTTTTTTTGTGTTCGTAACCTTACTAATTATTTACTGAAGATAATTAAGTTTATGTATTTTCAAAACTATATGATAAAATATAACAAAAAATTTAATTCAATTAATTTATATAATTTATATTAAAGTTTAAAAAATAACATCAACAAATTATAAGTTTGAATACTTATAATTTTTTAGTCTTAGGTTACAATCTCAAATTAATTTTTACAATTAAATTGTTTGAATAGATCGTTTACTCCCTATTCATAATATTTTTTTACACAATTTAATATATTTGTAAATTTAAAATTGAAAATTAAAAGAACACCCTATCTCTGTTTAGACAATATATATTTCACCAGAAAATAATTACTGGGAAATTATTAAGATAAATAATATAAGAATAACGCCATATATAAGAGGATATGAATGGGACACCGATCGTAAAGCACGTAACCGTGACATTCCCATCGGACAATTAAGAATGACATCGTTTGTTTGTCTCCCCTTTTGGCCCATAAATTTGGTGGCTGCCATAAGCACTTCCTTTTATCCCCCGGCAATGGTGCCCCCTTTGCGGGGTAACCACAAGTGGAATATGCTTTAAAAACATTTCACATACAAACATATGGTTCATGTACGAAGCATGGAAATTGAGACTAGTTGAATTTTGATCTCAAAGATTTGATTTTATCATGAAACTTTAATGTGATTTAATCATAAATAAATAAATATGATTTTATTTGAATTTTGCGATTGTGATTAAATTACGTCAAAATTTTATGATAGCACATATGAAATCATGCAAGCTCATGAGATTAGAATTGCGATAAAACTTGGGACTTTTATTTTCTTGGGCACTCTCTTATATGTATAAAAATATTTATGAAATTATCACTATCTGTCTAGCTCATTCACGTTTACACAAATATACTAGTATATGGATACCAAAACAATTACCAATTGCCTTGCCTTGCCTGAATTACAATAGCCTAAACTCTAATGAAACACTATTGAAGTTTAAGTAAGATCAAAAGTAAGAGTGAGGAAATATTTGAAAAAAAAATTTAAATTATAAAATTTGATTTGGTTTTGATTAATTTTTTCATTTGATTTGGATAAATTCAATATTAAATGGATATATTAAGTTCGATTAAATTTCAGATCGAAATATAAAATATAAAAAAAATTTAACTGAATCAAATTATATATTTTATTATTTTTATTATATATTTTCAATTTTATAAAATAAAATAATTATTTTATATAAATTCATTTAAATATATTAAAAATCTTATTAATATAATATATAAAAATTTTAAATTTTAAAAATTGATAAATTAAATCATATCTGTAAATTCAATTCATATAGATTAATTAAAAA